TGTTTTGTCATAAATCCTCTTGTTTTGTCATAAATCCTCTTGTTTTGTCATAACTCCTCTTTTTGTCATAACTTCTCTTGTTTTGTCATAAATCTTCTTGTTTGTCATAAATCCTCTTGTTTTGTCATAACTCATCTTGTTTTGTCATAAATCCTCTTGTTTTGTCATAAATCCTCTTGTTTTGTCATAAATCTTCTTGTTTTGTCATAAATCTTGTTTTGTCATAAATCCTCTTGTTTTGTCATAACTCCTCTTGATTTGTTATAATCCTCTTGTTTTGTCATAAATCCTCGTTTTGTCATAAATCCTCTTGTTTTGTCATAAATCTTGTTTTGTCAAATCTTGTTTTGTCATAACTCCTCTTGTTTTGTCATAAATCCTCTTGTTTTGTCATAATTCCTTTTGTTTTGTTTTGTAATAACTGCTCTTGTTTTGTCAGAAATCCTCTTGTTTTGTCAAGAGGATTTATGTTTTGGATTTATGTTTTGTCATAAATCCTCTTGTTTTGTCATAACTTCTCTTGTTTTGTCATAAATCCTTTTGTTTTGTCATAAATCCTCTTGTTTTGTCTTCACTCCTCTTGTTTGTCATAAATCCTCTTGTTTTGTCATAAATCTTGTTTTGTCATAAATCTTGTTTTGTCATAAATCCTCTTGTTTTGTCATAACTCCTCTTGTTTTGTCATAACTCCTCTTGATTTGTTATAATCCTCTTGTTTTGTCATAAATCCTCGTTTTGTCATAAATCCTCTTGTTTTGTCATAAATCTTGTTTTGTCAAATCTTTTTTTGTCATAACTCCTCTTGTTTTGTCATAAATCCTCTTGTTTTGTCATAAATCCTCTTGTTTTGTCATAATTCCTTTTGTTTTGTTTTGTAATAACTGCTCTTGTTTTGTCAGAAATCCTCTTGTTTTGTCAAGAGGATTTATGTTTTGGATTTATGTTTTGTCATAAATCCTCTTGTTTTGTCATAACTTCTCTTGTTTTGTCATAAATCCTCTTGTTTTGTCATAAATTCTCTTGTTTTGTCATAACTTCTCTTGTTTTGTCATAAATCTTCTTGATTTGTCATAACTCCTCTAAAGATATTTTTCCCCTATTGTCATAAATCATTTAGTGTTGTCACACATGTGTTACAACGTGTTACAATGTAACACAAGTTACCCAGTGATGTTTTTCATTTGCTCCTGTCCAGAAGGCATCTCAAGGAACCAAACTTGATGCCAATCAGAGTCAAACTTGAGTTAACCCGGAGTTCCTCAGTTATTTTCTGTCACCTGTCTCATCAGACCTAGGACTGTTACATTCCCAGCATTGATTCAATGTAAAATCAACACAAATGTGCATGTATCCACATTCAGATGATGGTTGAATCAACATTGAGATAGTGTCAGTTCAGTTATGATTAAAAGCCTGATGTTGATTCAACATGTAAGTCACCAACAACTGTCAATATCATTTCAATACTGATTCAATATTTCTGCCTAAATATATTTCAACATTGATTCATTTACATTTTGCTATCTGGACTGGATTTACTTTGAATTTTACGTATTTCGAAATGGTTATCACACACAAGATATTACTTTGGTGTCTATTTATAAAATTGTATTTTTTAAGTGGTTATTGATAAAACCAGCTGCCTACGTGAAACATGAAACATTTACACCTTTTACAGTTTTGTAGTTAGTGTAGTTTCTGTGTAAGAGAATATTCTGTTAAAACAAAGAATATAGTGAAAGGATAAATTGCTTAAATATTAAAGTATATTTTATTTTTTCAGAATAAAAGTTGTAAAAGCAATTTAAAAAGTTATGTATAAATTCACATACTTCTATTCTGATATTTAAAAATACAAAAGGTCTTAGAAAATGTGACAAGGTATTTCAGTTAAAGCACTAACTAAAAATAAAATGTGTTTTATAGAATTAAAAACCATATGTGAATAAAATTCACAATACTGTGTTAAAAGAATTCTCATTAAATTTAGAGAGATAATATGGTCATTTGTGATGCACTAAATCTAAGGGTTATCTGTTGTAGCTACTCATGAAGTATTGTAGTATGAAGTATTGAATATGGAGTATCTTCATTATATGAAAGAAAAATAAACCTTCTTGTTAGATGCAAAAGGAAGCTCAATGTTTGCGTCTTATCTTTTCTGTGTATCACAGCTTTAAACACAGAGATAACAAAATTTCCACATAAACTTCAGGCCATTCAAAGTTGGCGGCTAACATATGTATTGACTGAGAACAGGTTGAGCAGAAATCAGGACTGTGTGTGGTTAGAGAAAGGTGTGATGAACCACAGTTATGTTTTATCAAGGGCAGACCCTTTTTAAAGGTTTGGACTTTTTTGTGTCTTAAATTAATGATAAACTTCTTTATTTAAAAACTACATTTTGTGTTGTCCTGTCTTTTACCAATAATTAAATCTGATGTTCTGAAACACTGAAGTGTGATAGGTATGCCAAAGAGAGGAACAGTCATTACATTACAAACATTTGGGCAAAAGTTTCGGTGATAACTTCCTTTTCACAAGAACATCAATCATCCAGAAAGGTTATAAACAAATAGCTGCTTTATTCAGAGATTTTCTCACAGTTTTTGGTTAATTCAGACACCAACAAGTTCTCAGATTAGCTGCTGATGTAGCTTTCAGTCCTGATGCCATAAACAGAAAAACGACGAAATACACACACACACACACACACATTCCTGAGCCACTCTATGTTGATGTACAACAGCCAGTCAGAAACAGTTTCAGAAACTTTGAGCAGTCCAGCTGTTTGCCCATCTTTGGTCAGAGGTTTAGTCAATGTGTGTGTGTCCGTGTGTGTGCGTGGATGTGCGTGTGTGTACGTAAGCCAGAATGGGAGGGGAATGCTGTGGGTGGGGATCTGTGTTTGTGTGTGTTCTTGGGGAGAGGGTGGGAATAAAGTTGCATATGAATCCATCTGCAGCAGGTGGAGTTCCTCCTTTCTGTCTCTGATGTTTGTGTTCAGGCAGGATTCATGCTTCAAACAACCACCAAATGTCCAGTAAAAAACACAGATCACAGCTGCTGATGCAGTGGAACAGACTTGGGGTTTCACAACTGTAAATTGTGGTGTTGTTCCAAGTTGAAGTTCTCATTCCATTGTAGTGACCTGACAGAATTAGCAACCTCCAATTTCAAACACACCAACTAGAAGGATAACTAGTTTGGCAGCTTTGTGGACAAGAGACAGTTCGAGTTTCAAACAGAAATGTTTATTTTCCTCACAGTAATGTATTCTGTTAACTTTAAAATTCACTGAGTCCAACAAAACAAACAAAGGGGACTTTAAGACCCTAACGCTCAGCAACTGGAGATTGGGTCAAAGAAGGGCATGGAATAAAAGACACAGGACACCCCACTTACACACACTCATTACAAAATAAGAAAAACACGCACACACACATTTAAATCAAGGTTGCTCTTTTTAATGAGCGGATGGACCACAGCATGTTTCAAAGTAATAGAAAAACATTCAGATATCAGGGAAGCATTTACTGTTTTAACAATACATGGACCAAAACAATCAAAGACAGAAAGTCAGATAAACTGATGACTGGGGATGGTCCATAAGCCTTAAGAAAGAGACACAGGTTCAAAACATTAAAAGACTGCATGGCAAACTGATGGAGTCACTGGACTCACTCTAGATAGATGAGACAATCTGAGATCAGAAATGTTGTTTATGAAAAATGTCAGGATTGGATGAAGAGATAGCAACATTTCTGTCACAGGGATAAATAAGAGGTTTCAATGTGTTGCCAGTTCTCCGACATGGCGGTTGATAGTTTAGGGCCATAGTTTAGAAACTAAACTGTAAGATATAAAAAAAAAGATTTTTCGCTATTGTTTCAGTGGATATCTAATTGAGATATAAAATATGAGGGTGATATGAAAAACAACATAGCCAGTTGATCTTTTTAAACATTTTTATTATATTTCCCATGGGTCTTCAACATTTATGTTGGCTTCCAGGATTTAATTTTTGCTTTGAGATCTGTTTTATGGCATCTTAAGATCTATTTTAATCTTCCTTTGATGATTTTCAGACTGAAACAACACATAAAATCAGGATAAATTCTGCATTTACAAGCTTTAGCAATTTTGCAAATTATGGTTTAAAATGGCAAGATACAATATTAGCTCAATAAAAGTCTTTCTAATGAGCTACTCTTGAAATCTTAATGGTGTCTTTCAGAAACAGATACCATTTTGCAAAGTTTTGTAGTTCTTTTAGTTTAGAGCATTGTTTATTTCCTGGTTTGAAATATTTGCCTCTCCCAGCTCATACCACAAGTTAATTTAGCCACCAGTTAATCCATAACACCAGAACCTAAGTTAGGCTAACAATAACAAACTTTTTAACCCTTCATGGATCTGCACAAACTAACTTAGGCTGGATTCACAACAGCTGCTGCACATATCCAAACAGGTGAATGGTTACTGCCAACAGAGAAACTATTTTTGAAAAATGGATTCAGGACACTGAGAATTAAGTTCAGACAACAGTATTTACTAATTTAATGATAAAGAAAGACTTTAAGCATATTTTCAAGGGAAAACATGTGACAAGGAAAGCTGGAATTGATCCCAAAACTTGACCAAATTCTGTACCCACACAATCGCCCCTAAGGATCACAGTAATATAATCACTGAGATCATTGAAGGGTAAGTGTTAGAGTACCATAGCCCAGTTCAGAATAATAGAGTGATCTAAAGTAGCAGAGTATTTTAATCTATATCTACTATCAAAATATGAAAGTACTCTTCCTTACACTCTAGTCTTCCTGCTCAGTTGTGTCTGCCTCCTACAGGAATGCAGTGAATGATGAGAGAAAGTCCACAGATGCCATCAGCTGTCTGATTGGTCATTTCCTTGGGTCCTGCCCTATAAGGAAAGGAGCTGAGGAGAAAGCCAAAAGGAGGATGAGGAGGAGGCCCCGGCCTTGTTTGGACTGAGGATGGATGGAGGAGGTGGAGGCTTGATAAACTGGAAAGCAGCTCTTTAGACTCTCACTTTTCTGTCCCACATCATCCAAGCAGGACCTGCGCTGCCACGGTAAGACCTCAGCAGCTGCACTCTGTTCTGTGACCATGAGTATTTTCCTGAATGATTTATTTTGGCTTCTGCCACCATTTCCTTCTTGCCACTGCTGTTTCGCCTCTTCTCTTCTCTCCTGTGTTTCCTGCTCTTCTCAGTGAACATATTTATCCATGTTTCTCTGTTGTTGCATCTGCTAAACCATCTTTTCTCCTTCAGTTATGACCTGGATGCTCTCTTCCATTAGTGAAAAGGTTCTTCTTGTTTACGTACTTTCCTGTCAATGAAACATCTGTTACCCATGTTTTCTCTGCTTTTGGTTGCCCTCTCTCCTCCTGAAAAGAGAGGATCATGTTCTCTATACCTAAGAATGTTTTTTTCTTGTGAAGTGCTGTCCATTATCTCATTGGAAGTTTCTTATGTTAAAAAAATTGTCAGAATGTTGCTCCTTTACCTCTCCGTGTCCCAAGCTCTGACTCTGACCAAGAGCCAAATGATGTCTGAAAAGCCTGGTTTCTGCAGCAGATTTTCAGAACATAAAAATTGGTTTATAAAAATACTGTAAATTGATTTAATAAACCAAATATGATGGCTTCTGGTCATCATATTTGCCAGCAGCTGTCTGATTGGCCATTTCTGATTGGCCAACATTACAGAGTTTAAACTCTGTAATGTTCAGAAGAGACTAAATTATTGATAGCCTCTGTCTCAAACACAGAGACAGAGACTCAAACACAGAAATATCCTAACATCTAAGCCCATTTGATATCTTTCAACTCTAAATCAAATCAGAAAAAATAAATGTAAAAGCTATCTTATGTTGCATTAAAATATCCACCAGCAGAGGGCATCTTTGAGTCATTCCACAGTACTTTTCATTATCACATTAAAATAAATATGTAAAATATCCATTGTATTTTGGAGTTTGTAGTTTCAGCATGTCTAACCACATAACTCCATAAAATAGTGTTTGTTTTTAAAGCTCTTAATGGCCTTGCCCCACATTATATAAATGCACTTTTAAACCTTTCTATCCATCCTTTTATTCAATGTCCCTCGGACTGGGTGACTGGGCCCGTCTCCACCTCTGACATGGGAATGTTTAAGTCTAAGGTCAACCTTAAAGTCTAGACAAGGCTTTAATACCATGTAGCATAGTGGCATTTCCCTGTGTTTTTTATTGAAAAGTCGTTGGTCTCCTTAGTTGGTTATTGTGAAGCATTATATTAGAAAATCAGTCAATCAGCAAAATTCTTCTGATTTCGGCTCTATCATTCTCAACTCTGGGAGCTCTATGTCTCTGTTATCAGCAACTCTGAAATTCCCAATCTCAAGCTTTCCAGTCACTGTTCAGGTTTCTGATTGGCTTCTTACTAAACCTAGCTTTCCAGATTTGGTTAAGGACTCAGTCCAACAACTTATAGTGGATAGAAAAAATAACTTTTCAGATGAGACCAGTACCAGAACCAGCGAAATCTAAACCAAGGTGGGTCTGCCATCCAGCTGCAATCTGATCAGAATTTCTTTTCCATCATCTTCAGATACTTGTTTCCAGACAATATTATAAATATATACATGTCTGGAACATTTAGTCATTCCGTTGTTTGGAAATTTTATTTGTTTAGAGTTTTATTTGTACTACAACTAAAAATATTTACCAAGCCTGCTTTTGGACTTGAGTTTGGGGTGATCGAACATTAGGGGGGTTAAGTGAGTAGAAAAGAAATTTTAATTATAATTAAATTTATGTAACCTCTGAGTTTGATTATTTTTTTTAAATAAAAAAAAGAAGAGAGAGAAAAAAAGCATTCATCAGAATTGAAAGTGAAGATAGCAGAAAAACATTGTTTGTATAATAATCTTTCTTTGATAAAAAGAAATTTCTGTACATTCAGCTGAGCATTTAAACTCACAACCAGACATGGACAAAAACTGGACTTAAGCAAAAGTTCTTTATTTTATTTTATTTTTTTCTGTGTTCGCTGTTGATTTTGGATCTAAGAACTCTTTCTTATTTGTGTGCTTCTGATGATTTCACTTTGAAGTTACAATTCATTAACAAGGATGAAGCTGAGAAACACTGGTAAAGCTTATTAAGCTAAAACAGTCTCTGCAGCCAATATAACAGAAAACCTAAATGTCTGTTGTAACTGACTGACAAAGCAAACATTCATCCCAAAGCATCTTAGCACCTTCGGCTGCAGAATGTAATGTTCCAGATTCTGTGAAGTTCTAACGTATCAGCAGAAGCAGCTGCTGCACAAGGAATTTACATTTTACAGAAAGATGGAGAAACAATTTAACTGAGGAGAAAAACAGGAGCTACAGAGAGGAGTGTCAGGCAGAACTCAGAGCAATGTTAACACAGAGAGGCCTGTCCTACAGCCAGAAACAGCAGAAATATTCAGTTCCTGGAGTTCATGACTAAATATGGAGCAAAGTGCTGTGAGGGGAAAGGAACATGAAGAGAGATGAGGAAGGACAGATGGAGTGGAGTGGGGCAGGGCAAGGCAGAGTTAACACAGAGAGAGAGAGCATACCAAATACAGGCAGGAGTCCACTCATGACCGAAATAGGAAATCTTCTCTGAGTAGAAGGTCATGTAACTACCTACCAGCTCCGGTTTTGGGGATGCTGCAGAACTTTCAGAAATTTCATTCAGGTTATCTTCCGCTTAGCTGTTTTTAATGTAAAAAAGTGATTTTAGAATAAATTTGGTTGAACTGGATGGTAAAGTTTCAGTTTCTGTTTCTGGGCTCATTTTTACTGTTTCATCTTTGACAGATGACTGACAGATGACTGAGTGTCCCCAAATCTCCCTTTAAGCTAATTTTACATTAATATTTATTAATTAATATTTATTAACTATTACTGAACATTGTCATTGAGCAATGTGACAGTTTTTATTTTTTGAAAATACAGTGTGAAAGTTCTCAGAAGACAACTTCAACATGAGAAATTATTTGAAAACAACAAGCCTGTTTTTAAATAAAACTAATAAAAATCAGATTGAATTTGAAATTATTTATAAGAAAATGTGTAAAATTAAAAGAAGTTTGAACGAGCATTATATTGGGGTAATAAAGCAGCTGAGAAATCTAACAGCAATTTTATATATGTGTATATATAAAATTGGTTTTGAGTGAGTTTTATTTGATGAGCAAATAAAACTCAAATTGATTAATATTGCTGATTTTTCTGAACTGTAAAAGCATATCTATTTCTCACATCTCTCTTCATCAGTGCGAGTCGTTCTGTTAGGTTTCCAGCTTGTCCACAGTACCCCTCGCAGCCATGTGTGACGATGAGGAGAGCACCGCTCTGGTCTGTGATAATGGATCCGGTCTGTGTAAGGCGGGTTTTGCTGGAGATGACGCTCCCAGAGCCGTCTTCCCCTCCATTGTGGGTCGGCCCAGGCACCAGGTGACTGTTCAATGATTAATGCTTAGCTCAATCACAGACAATGAGAAAGGTGTAAAATGACAGTCTGTGTAAACGTCTGTCAGGGAGTGATGGTGGGGATGGGACAGAAGGACAGCTATGTGGGAGATGAGGCTCAGAGCAAGAGAGGAATCCTCACCCTGAAGTATCCTATTGAACATGGAATCATAACCAACTGGGATGATATGGAGAAGGTCTGACACACACATACATACACGCACACACACACACACACACACACACACATGCACACGTGTGCACACACATACAAGTTTGTATTTTTACCAATTTTAAGACTGTATTGACTTCCATTCATTTTAGTGTCTACTTTTATGCATAACCCAGACATTTTCCCTAACCCTAACCATTACAGTCTGTTCTTAACCCTAACCTTAATCAAAACCTAATTTGTGCCTTACTTCTAAACCTTACCCCTGACCCCTAAACAAGGAGGTCAGTTCTAATACTAGAACTGGACTTTGGTCCCTATGAGGTACATGGTCTTCAGAAGTTAGTAAATACAGAAAAGGTCCTAAATAGGATAGCTAGACAAGTACACACACAGCACCTCCTAACCTGCTCCTGCTCTCTGATTGGCCAGATCTGGCATCACTCTTTCTACAACGAGCTGCGAGTTGCCCCTGAAGAACATCCCACCCTGCTGACCGAGGCACCGCTCAACCCCAAAGCCAACCGAGAGAAAATGACTCAGGTAGTTTGTGTACAAAGTACAAAAAAAATTACATAAATACAATCCAAACTAGAGACACTCTAGTACCTGTGACACCTATAGATTCTATAGGAGGTTCCAGTTAATCTGTCATATCTGTTCACAGTGATAGTTACTCCAGAAGGCTGAAGTGTTCTGAAGCTGATTTGCTTGTAATCTGAATTTACAACTTGTGAAGTGTTTAATCACATATTCCTGCTGCTGTCACTTTATTTTACATCTGTGATAGCAACTCTCAGTTCTCTAAACACAGTTTCATCTCCTCCTGCAGCATTCGTTCCTCTCACATGCTGGCCGCAATTGCCAGGACTCCCTGCTGCAAATGAATTACATTTCATAAAACATTTCTTGAGTATAACCAGTGATGTGCAGAATGGTTCATCACTGGTGCACAACTCCAGATGTACAACTGGAATGTGTTGCAGCATGGAGCTCAGAAATTGATATGATTAGATAAAAGAAATCTGATGCTATGTAACTTAACTCTTGTTCTGAATTAAAGTTGAAGAATAAATTAAGAAAATCTTATGGCACTGTGTCCCTACTAATGTAAATGTCATATCTGTGTTCAGATCATGTTTGAGACTTTTAATGTTCCTGCCATGTACGTGGCCATCCAGGCAGTCCTGTCGCTGTACGCCTCTGGACGCACCACAGGTTGGATCGTGCACTCTTCCCTTCTTCCTTAAGACCAGTATAAAATATGGTGGATACAGAGCAAAGGCTGAAGCCATCTGAGTGTGGCCTCCTTTCTGTCGTTCGTTCAGGTATTGTGTTGGACTCTGGTGATGGAGTCACCCACAACGTCCCAATCTATGAGGGCTATGCCCTACCACATGCAATCATGAGATTGGATCTGGCAGGCCGCGACCTTACAGACTACCTCATGAAGATCCTAACCGAGCGAGGCTACAGTTTTGTCACCACAGGTATCATTGAAGGGGCCTTTATCCATTTCAATTTTCATGATACCCCATCACATGTATATGTCTGGTTCACCATGTCCATTTGTCCTGCAGCTGAGAGAGAGATTGTGCGTGACATTAAGGAGAAGCTGTGCTACGTGGCCTTGGATTTTGAGAATGAGATGGCAACAGCAGCCACTTCGTCTTCTCTTGAAAAAAGCTACGAGCTTCCTGATGGTCAAGTGATCACCATTGGCAATGAGAGGTTCCGCTGCCCAGAGACACTCTTCCAGCCATCGTTCATTGGTCAGTCACATGCTCATGTTTTCATATCAACATAAAAACATGGTCATGTGAGTTAACTAGTTGTCTAGTTAACTGATAATCAAAAAAGTCATAGCTTTAACAAAACGGCTGTTTTTTTAAATTATTCATTAGCACACAGCCACATATTGGTGTTTCAATCTTCCTGTAGGCATGGAGTCAGCTGGAATCCATGAGACAACCTACAACAGCATCATGAAATGTGACATTGACATCCGTAAAGACTTGTACGCCAACAATGTGCTGTCAGGAGGCACCACCATGTACCCAGGAATAGCTGATCGGATGCAGAAGGAGATCACAGCGCTGGCTCCCAGCACTATGAAGATTAAGGTCAGCTCTGTGTTCATAATCAATTTCTGATTCCAGGATGAGTCAAGGCTTTTAATGTGACAGAATGAGAACGGATATATAACTTCCTTCCAACAAAAGTCAGTTATCTTTGTGTAGTTGTTAAAAAGAAAACATGGAACTTCTTGGTAAACAGAATAGTCTAAATAATTATACCCAATGGAACTTCACATGTATTTCAAAAAGTTATTTGTCCTATTGATAGAACATATGTTGAGATATCATTTACGTTTGAAGATACTTAACATTTAACTCTGTCCCTCAGATCATCGCTCCCCCAGAGAGGAAGTACTCTGTGTGGATTGGCGGTTCTATTCTGGCCTCCCTCTCTACATTTCAGCAGATGTGGATCAGTAAACAGGAGTACGATGAGGCTGGACCCTCCATTGTCCACCGAAAGTGCTTTTAAAGAATCCACTCCCCTCCTCAGATTGATGTGCTCTGCAGCCCCTCAGTTTCCATCTTCAGCACTGCCTTTAGTTTAACTTGCACTGAGCACCAGCAACTACACGCTATGTCAGCCCAATTCAAACTGTGAATCTGCTAATTTGTCCTGCCACTGTAACAACACCTTTTACTCTAGTTGTGCCCTACCCTTCCCTTCTCCATGTTGGTTCTGTTTTTGCTTAGAAATTAACCTTGAATGTTGGTGGGGGGAGCAGAGCACATTTACACAGCCTTACGATGATGTCACAGAGTGTACAACAGATGATTAGGAGGTGTGGTCTTGCCAAAAGTGTGCAAGCACCACAGACATGATCTTCCAGGAAGAAATAAAGAGCTCCAATAAAACACAAATAAATCTTGTCCTTCATGTAACTGTTGATTATCTTTGTTGTCATAACAACCAGTTTTAAAGACAAAAATATTTTCATCGTAAAACAGATGTTACATCATAAACTGTACAATAATGATGGAAGCACTTTCGATGTATTGGTTGCTTGGGATTGATAAATGCTATTGCTGATACTGTGTTGGTTGTCAGGTGATATTTTTGCAAGTTAGCAGATCTTTAAACAACTTAATAAATTTATATACATGATGTTACCTCTGAAACAAAAGACAATAACAGGATGTAAACAGCTAAGGTTTGAAAAGTTTTGTTTTTCTATTTTATGTTTTAAATGTGAAATACTGGAGCAGTGTATTGATGTTTTCATTACTCTGGTTGACTAGTTTATTCTAAATTAGTATTATTTGCAGTGAATTAATGAAGATGTCTCACTACACCTAACACAATGCTTGAGTTGCACCAGCAGGCAGAGAAGTAGAAATGCCAACTGATAAAGCCTCATGGATTTTAAACTGTAGCACTAGATAAGCTACATAATTAATATTTGTGTCAAAATTAATCAGTAACAGTTAATAAAATTATTAATCTCAAATTTATTTAAAAAAAAAACAATAATAAATTCATTTGAATATTGGACCTACTGAAGAGCAGAATCTATAGTTAAACTATTTGTAATCCCATTATCTAGAGGTGAAGGATGTGCCTTAACTTCAATCCCTTTCTGACTCTTACATTCTCACTGAATCCGGTAATGTTACACAGTAGTCTCATGATGTCATGATGAAAATGTGAAGAACTTAATGGGGAGAGTTCAATTCTGAGTGAACCAAACAAATCATTGGTCAGGGATCAAACATCGGGTGTTAATTGATTTTAAGCTCCATGTGCAGCTGTTTCAGTTGCATAATGTCCAACTAAAACGATGAAAAGTTGGTCATGTGCACACAGCAGTTTAGAGGTCACATTAAGTTCACCTGAAATTTCACTTGAAAGCGTGTGTTTCCGAACCTGTTCTTTTTGTCAACATCTTGAGCAAAGATGACGTTTTTTTTTTTCATTTTGACGCAATCCATGATCAAAATTTTATTAAAAAACTGTTTATGGCAGAAAGTATTGATAAAGTCCATTATAAAGTTGTTAAATATGATTAAATGGCCGTCTTTGCATTTGATGACCACCTCCTGAAATCAAATATTATACATTCATTCATCTTGATCCAATATGGCAAAATACATTCAAAACTGCTGATTGGCAAAATGTCAGTTAAACAAACCATCACTGTATCAAAAACTGTATTTCTACAGTCCAGAAGGCAACACAAAACTGCTGGTGGGCTGCATTTGACCCGTGGGCCTTGAGTTTTGACACATGTAACACCTTTTCCTCTGTCTGTGGTACTAATCAGAGTTCTGAGCAGAGACAGGCTCTTCATCTATGTGTGTGTGATTTACCTTTGTTTTGTGGGGGCCAAGTATGTTACTGTTCTGGTTGCAGGGAGAATTTAACTTCTCATTCATTCACGAAAAAGTGTGTTATCCTTTTTGTCTTGGTGCAGGGACTCGCGCTGAGGCTCTGTCTGGCTTGATGCCATGTGGCAGAGCCTCCTTTTTATGTGCATCTGAGAAGGGAGAGCCTCTGCTGCTACATTTAGAAACCTCAAGGCCTGTTTTTTCTGGGTTCAGACCCTTGTTCAAAACAGTTTTGAAAAAACTGTAGTTTAGACTCTCCTTTTTGGTTTTCAGACCTGGATCATCTCCCTGTACTTGCTGTTTTGTTGCTTGTGATTCAATCAATCCATTTTCCAACATTTTTAAACAAGATGTTCATCTTTGTGGAGGCAGACAGTCTCCACAAAGTCGGCACCAGCTTTTCAAAGTGTTCAGTTTGCTATCTCATCATTTTAGTTGGATTGAAGTTGATGAGGAGAGTAATGCTTATCAGATTCATTCATGCTGAGACCTGGTTTCACAAGGTGACCCTTATGAATTCTTTTTCATTTTCACAACATACCTTTCAGAGAAAAGGAAATAATAGGAAAGATCTAATATTAGAAATTTGGCACAGTTTATTTAGATTACACAGGGGTGGCACTGATGTTTGGTTCTGTTGGGTACATCAAGGTATGAAAGGCAATGAAAAAGCAGACAACACGGATGAGCCTGACTTCATAAAGTCACTGTTTAAGGTAATATTGCAGCACAGTACTGGGCTGTTGTTGTTGGGCGGGGACTTCAACTGTACTATGTCACAAATATTGGACAGATTACCCACTCCAAAAACCCCACTCTCTACAATGAGTAGGATGCTTAAATATCAGATTATAGAGACAGGTATTGCAGACGTATGGAGAAGCAGATTTCCCAGAACTAAAGACTCAAGCAGTCATGCATCCTACTCGAGGATCGACTATTGCTTTACCCCAAAGTCAGAACTATATGGAATAGTAGATATAGAAATATTACCTATTACTATTTCTGACCATGCACCTGTCTTATTAAAATGGGACATAGGCCAACATCTAAACAATGGAGGCTCATATGGAAGTAAATATGTGCCATCAGGATTTTAATAAAAAATGCCTCTGAATTTTCAACGTAAAAAAATTCAGTGATAAAAAAATTCGCTGTTAAAAATTCAACGTCTAAAAATTCGCTGTAAAAAAAATTCAACATCTAAAAATTCGCTGTAAAAAATTCAACGTCTAAAAATTTGCTGTTAAAAATTCAACGTCTAAAAATTCGCTGTAAAAAATTCAACGTCTAAAAATTCGCTGTAAAAAATTCAGCGTCTAAAAATTCGCTGTAAAAAATTCAACGTCTAAAAATTTGCTGTTAAAAATTCAACGTCTAAAAATTCGCTGTAAAAAATTCAGCGTCTAAAAATTCGCTGTAAAAAATTCAGCGTCTAAAAATTCGCTATAAAAAAAATCAACGTCTAAAAATTCGCTGTCTCAAATTCAACGTCTAAAAATTCGCTGTTAGAAATGACAAGGTTACTTCAGGTCACAGACATGCGCAATGGACGTCAGAGTCCAACACCCAGCCAATCACAAGACGCCACGTCATAGAGAAGAAATACCAGCATCACGGAGGCTGGCGACTATGGAGGCGAAAGGTGAGTTTAATGCTTTCATATTTCTGTAGTACATTTCATTTTGCGCCTGAGGTTTGATACATTATCTTAAAGCTCGATTTAAAACACGGGTTTGGTCCGTTGTTAATCTTAAAGCATGTAGCGCAGGCATATAACGTCTCGCTACCTCCTAGCATCCAGCCCTTCCTAGCCTCCAGCCCCTCCCCGCTGTCCCTCACCCAACTTCCCCGTTTTATTTAAAAAAGAAAGAAACTTGGATCTTTAAAGAGAACTGATGGGTGGCGACTTTCTGGGTTGTTTGTATCTTGTCTTGGGTGAGACTGAGACAGGCGGTCTTAGTAAAGTCCAAATTTTTCAGGAGATGCTACCGCTCTCCACCATGGCTTAGCAAAGATACAGGCTTTAGATAGAAGACACGCATCCCAGGCTGAGCAGTGTCAATGAGGATGAATGAAAGCAACATTAGTTATTACATATTAACTAATGTAATAAGTTAATATGGCTGCCTTGTGTGCTTCAAAGAAGGGCTGTGAACACTTCCGACATTAACTATACCCACAACCCCATTCTGTTCATCTACTGTACTGTTAATGTGACTTCATTTATGAATGAATTAATGAATTTATTGTCATTATGACATTATAAAAAATACTAGTTACCTACCAAACTGTAGATTTACTTGTGTTTGATATAGTTTCTACAATTTTAATGGGAGAAGAGCACAGTAAGATTGCCATCCTTTTTGTAAAGTACGGAAGAATTCACTTATGAATGAAGCAATACATTTATTGTCATTATAACATCATCCAAAATACTGCTTTTCTTATCTGACGAGTATTGATATAGAATATTAATTGCTACAAAACGTTGTCCTGTTACCTAGTAACACTATAAACAATCCCCTTTGTTTTATCGGTTCATTTTAACTCATTTTGAAGAAAACATGCTTCTAAGTATGTCAGCTAACTAATTTTAGATTAAATATAATAATTGCGTCTGTTTTGTCATGTAAAGCACTTTAAAATGTTTTGTATATTAAATATGCTACACACAAAAAATGTCCCTGTCTAAGGAGAAATATTTTTGAAATTTACAGAGGAGGTGATAAAAGTTTTTGTTTTATTATATGCAATATTGTATTTACATAAAATTTTGACAGAATTTTATTAATTGCACCCGAGTTGTCAATATTAGTCTATAGAAGACTCGGGTGCAATTAAAATTCCCACTATTTTGTATCTCCACAGTATATTTTTGGTGACAAAGAATGTTTGAGCTATGCTAAAATTTGTCATTTTTGTTGTATTAATTGGCAAATCTTTGTGTTTTCCAGGGTGTACAAATTCCAGAAATTGTACGGAAGGACAGCGGGTTTCCTCTTCACGAGTCAAACGTCACAGTACCAAACTAATTTGCAACTGACTGATGAACAAATGGCAGCCTAAAGAAATGCAGTAAACCCAAAAGCCACATCACCGTCTTCTGAATGTGACATTTATATTGCTGCAGTTCAGTTTTGTGAGCAGTTTTTTACTATGTGAAAGTTGTCTTCAAAATAAGACTTCCGCTCTTCAAAATGAATCATGCTTTGAATTTAATTTTCACGTTACCTTTTTGTAATTATGTTCAATCAAGTTAAATTCTGTGTATAATAATTGTATAAATTGTGCTTAACATCTGACTGTATATAGGTAACTAATCATAATCAGGATTTTGTCTGTGATTAAATTCAAAGCATGACTTATTTTGAAGAGCGGAAATCTTCACATTTATAAAATGTAAAGGAAAATGCTGATTATGTTACCATAAATGTGAATTTTAGTGCTTTATGGAAGTTGTTACAGAAATAAAGTGTTTAAAATTTATAATTTGATTGTTTTTTTCTTAACTCAAAAGGAAGCTAATAGGTACATTTGTCCATTGTTGTAGTACTTTAAATTTCTGGCATCATAAGAATCAGAAAGTTAGTTTGTCTTAGGTAATTTATTTTGTAATACTTCAAGCATAGATGAACTCATGCAAGTACATTCAATAAAATTTTGCATAAAAACAATTTCAGTTTCATATTTAAAACTGCCTGTACAAACAGTACGGACTCGGACAAATGAAGTATCTACTCTGAACATTGTTATTCTAATTCCTCTAGTTTTGTCAAAATCAGATATATGATTTTGACAAAACTAGAGGAATTGAGAGTACAAATAATATACATGATTATATGAGTATGCAGAGCCATGTCTTTTTCTATCTCTTAAGTCCATCTTCAACAGCCAGGGGTTCTCCGTTGCAGGTTTTTGGAGGAGATGGTCTGGACAGCGAGAAATGGCCTTTGAAGCATCGCATATGTTATACCAGTCTAAGAGAAAAAAACATAAGTTAATGTAGTTACAGGAAAAAGTTTAAATTTCATATGGTAATTGAAGAGCTAGTGCATCAAAAACAAATACCAAAGTAAGGTCAGGGTAAAAAAATAATTTTTTAAAAACGTGTTTAATACAAAGTAAGCGTTAAAACATGCCAAATTCCTTTGGAAGACAATTTCTGTGTAGCTGAAGTCAATGCTTATGACTATCACTATTTGTGTCCTAAATGGACATACATAGGCCTGGTGTGTCAAAGTCCAGTCCTGGAGGGCCGCTGCCCTGCAACTTTTAGATGAGCCTCTGCTGCACCACACCTGGATATAATAATTAGATCATTAGCAAGGCTCTGGAGACCTGATCTTCACAAGGAGGAGGTAATTAAACCATTTCATTCCAGCGTTTTGTAGTGTGGCACATCTAAAAACTGCAAGACAGCGGCCCTGGAGTACTGGAGTTTGACACCTATGACATTAGCACCAGCTATCAACCACTCACCATCACTGCCTGAAGAATATAATGTAAATGGCCCAAACAGTGTTTCAGTCACTTCTTAGTTTTCACCCAAGACAAGATACAAACAACCCAGAAAGTCGCTACCCATCAGTTCTCTTTAAAGATCCAAGTTTCTTTCTTTTTTAAATAAAACGGGGGAAGTTGGGTGAGGGACAGCGGGGAGGGGCTGGAGGCTAGGAAGGGCTGGATGCTAGGAGGTAGCGAGACGTTATATGCCTGCGCTACATGCTTTAAGATTAACAACGGACCAAACCCGTGTTTTAAATCGAGCTTTAAGATAATGTATCAAACCTCAGGCGCAAAATGAAATGTACTACAGAAATATGAAAGCATTAAACTCACCTTTGGGTTAGCGTTCGCCTCCATAGTCGCCAGCCTCCGTGATGCTGGTATTTCTTCTCTATGACGTGGCGTCTTGTGATTGGCTGGGTGTTGGACTCTGACGTCCATTGCGCATGTCTGTGACCTGAAGTAACCTTGTCATTTTTAACAGCGAATTTTTAGACATTGAATTTGAGACAGCGAATTTTTAGACGTTGAATTTTTTACAGCGAATTTTTAGACGCTGAATTTTTTACAGCGAATTTTTAGACGTTGAATTTTTTACAGCGAATTTTTAGACGCTGAATTTTTTACAGCGAATTTTTAGACGTTGAATTTTTTACAGCGAATTTTTAGACGTTGAATTTTTTACAGCGAATTTTTAGACGTTGAATTTTTAACAGCGAATTTTTAGACGTTGAATTTTTTTACAGCGAATTTTTAGACGTTGAATTTTTAACAGCGAATTTTGTATCACTGAATTTTTTTACGTTGAAAATTCAGAGGCATTTTTTATTCAAATCCTGATGGCACATATTTACTTCCATAGGCTCAATACATCCGTGCTTAATGATAAAGTATTCATCGCATTTATTAGAGAGGAGCTGAAGACATATCTGGAAACTAATATATCTACAGAAACAACACCTCTGATAATATGGGATTGTGCCAAAACATTCCTTCGGGGCCGCATAATTTCCTTCACATCTGCGAGGAAAAAACAGAAGGATGCTAAACAAAAAGATTTGGAAGAGAAAATCAAAAAATTAGAGTTCAAACATAAAAGAAACGCTTCAGCTAAAATCATGAAGGAATTAAATGCAACCCGCAGACAACTAAACAGTGTATTGTCAGATAAAGTAGAGGGTAACTTGAGGTTCACTAACCAAAAATATTATGAATACGGCCAGAAGGCTAGTATTCCTCAGTCTTATAGGCATTTAGACTGAGGAAGCAACAGTCCTCCAACATGGTTCATAAAATAAAAACCCAAGAGTCTGTTGAGACAAGACCTGACAAAATAGCGGAGGCCTTTGCAAAATTTTACAAATTATTATATACGAACACTGATACCTGTAATAATGACCAAGAGCTCACAGATTTTTTAAATAGGATAAAATTGAAGCACTTAACGGATGAGGGGGCTTTGGAATTGGATCAACCGATTGAGGAATGGGAGATTAAGCAGATAATTAAATCACTCAAGGACAACAAAAGTCCAGGTCCAGATGGATTTGTCAATGACTTTTATAAAACTTTTATAGATCTCCTGGCTCCCTTGCTATTAAAAGCATATCATCATGCTTTAAAATCCAAAACTATGGCACCGTCTTGGACAGAAGCCACTATAGTAGTAATTCACAAAGAGGGCAAGGATCCCACAGACTGCCAATCATATAGACCTATATCATTGCTGAACACAGATTTACGCATACTCACAGCAATCCTAGCAAGGCGACTTAACAAATTCATCACCCAAATCATACATCCTGATCAGACAAAATTTATTGTAGGCAGGTACTATGCTCATAACATAAGACGCTTACTAAACCTAACAAGCGTTCAAAAAGAAAGAAAGATCGAATCAGCAATCATATCCTTAGATGCCCAAAAGGCGTTTGAGAGAGTGTCATGGAAATATCTAATTCATACTCTGAAACGTTTTGGATTTGGTCCACATTTTGTTGACTGGGTGCAAACACTTTACTCCTCCCCTCAGGCAGCAGTTAAAGTTAATGGCTTTAGGTCTGATAGATTTGCACTAGGTCGGGGGTGTAGACAAGGGTGCTCGCTCTCACCCCTTCTGTTTGCTATTAGTATTGAACTGTTAGCCCAAATCATTAGAGATTATGCTAATATTAAAGGAATAGAAATTAGCAAGTAAATACACAAAATCTCATTATATGCAGATGATGTATTATTGTACTTGACGGAACCTAAATCAACAATCCCCCACTTAAAAGAGCTCATCAACCAATTTGGATTTTACTCAGGCTATAAAATCAATATCGAAAAAACGGAAGCTATGGACGTAAATGGCACAATTTCAGACTCCGTAAAAGTACAGAGTGGCTTCAAGTGGCCCAAGAATGGTATCAAATATCTGGGTATTCAAATACCTCCATCTCTATGTGACCTTTATGAGGCAAACTATAGCAAGCTCCTACGTGTGATTAAAAATTATCTGGACCGTGTTGAAAGTATTCATATGAATGTCTTACCAAGACTACTCTATTTATTCCAGATGTTACCTGTGGAAATTCTCAAATCTACCTTTGACACCTTAGATAAAATGATAACTGGATTCATTTGGCAAAGAAAGCGTCCTAGAATCAGACTGAAAACTCCCAAACTTAAAATATTATTACTGGGCTGCACAACTCAAACCCTTATTGGTTTGGTTACAGAATAGTGCAGATACTCGATGGCTGGGAATAGAGGAAAGCATGTGCTCAGTACCACTGCAAGCATTACCTTTCTTAGATGCTCCTGTAAAGAAAATGACAATCTGGACAAAAAAACACCCTCAAAATTTGGAACAAAATACAATCGGATTTTAAGTTATTCAAACAGATTTCACTTTTATCATGTATAGGATCTATGAAGACATTTGCACCAAACAACTTAGATTCTGGTTTCAAAAACTGGTCTAATCATGGGCTGTCTCATATTCATCAATTAATTAATGATGGACATTTCAAAACCTTTGAACAGATGAAGAAAGAATTTGGTCTCCCTAAAACGGACTTTTATAGATATTTACAACTTAGAACCTTTGTGACGACACACAATTGGACTAAACTTCACAAATCTACTCCTATAGAAAATTTCCTAATGGACATACAAAGAGGAAAGGAAAATAATAAAGTAATTAGTAAAATATATGACCTGTTTATGTCTCCATGAATGTGCATGATTCCACAAACATAAAGCATAATTGGGAGACTGAACTACAGGAGTCAATAGTTGGGCTCACATGGGAAGAAATATGTACTGAAGCACATTTAACAACAAATTCTAATACATGGAGAGAATTCAAATGGAAAGTAGTAGTCCGGTTTTTCAGAACGCCAGCAATAACCAGTAAAATGGGCCCAACGCATACCAGTTCATGCTGGAGAAACTGTGGGATGCAGAATGCAAATCATATGCATATCTTTTGGTCTTGTCCTAAACTAAGTGGTTTCTGGAAGGACATTTTTGAAGCGCTCAGTGTTATTTTCAGGAGAAATGTTCCAAAAACTCCCTTGGTGGCAGTTCTGGGAGTAATACCCGATGGAATAGACAGGAAGGGTGATAGATATCTTCTAAGTATCTTGCTCACAGCAGCCTTGAAATGTATAACTATCAGGTGACTGAAACCAGGGCCTCCTACATATAACACATGGATACAAAAAATCTGGGACATTTATCTGATGGAAGGAATCACATATTCCTTAAGGCTTCAAAAAACAGTTTTTGATATAAGGTGGAGCCCTGTCTTACTCAATGACACCCATACAGGACTGCCCTTTGGCACTTGTATGTACCCATGGGTCAGTTAAAATACCATGGTGTTTAAGAATGTGAGGACCATCTTATGTCAGAGGGGATTTAATTGTGTGTCTTGTATTTTTTATTTTTTGTATTTTTTTATTTTTATTTATTTATTTATTTGCTGTTACTTGTCTGATGTTTGGACTCTGTTATGTATTCCTTATTGCCTATGTTGGATCATTTGATGTCTCATCTTCTTTTGTTAAGTTATAATGCAGAATATATATGTCAGTAAGAGACAGTCGAATGCAACTGTGGACATGTGTTGTTAAAAATAAAATAAATAAATAAATAAAAATAAAGTTTAAAAAAAGCAGACAAATGAGCAAAAAGGGGGCAACGATTACAATTCCTATTGGAAAAAGGGAAGTAAAATCAGTTAAGAGTAAAACAAATAGAAATGTGGCAAAAAAGGTGGAATGAAAATAATAAAAGGAGTGTATATAAAATACAAAAGTCAATATTCATTTTTAAAAAAGTACTGAATAACAGAAGGAAAGAAATAAGATTCAGAGTAGGTCATAGCTGTCTATCATAAATATGAAGGGTGTGGCTGGATAGAAAATCTAGAACATTGCATTGAAGAATTGTAAAACATTGAGAAGAAAGGTTGGAAGGACAGGAATGAAGAATACTGGGAAATAGTGGACATTTACAGATTAAATACACATTTATTTATCTTCAGAATACAAAATGAGAAAATAGAATTGAATAGATGTAAAGCAGCGTTGCTACACACTCATGTACAGTAGGTGGAGGTACGCAACTCAACGTTGCTTACGATCCGACAAAATAGAAAAGAACAAGAAAGATGAAGAGGGAAAACTGAGGGCGGATTCAAATGTATGGCTGCGGTTCCCTCGCTGACTTCCTGGTTCGATTCGGTTGATTCGTCTAAAGAACGGGTCCTTAAAGGCATCCAAAAGGTCCTGTTGCATATCTGGGAACATAAACACGGCAAACAAAAGTATCAGCTGATATGTTCCGTGTCGGAACTCACGGACTCCTGTGGCTGGCGGCTCTCCGCCTGATTCCGACCTGTGTGTTCTGCTCTACCGCGGAAAAACCGGATGTTCCCAGTATTGCCACTTACTTCGGAACTAAGACCCGCTATGAGGAGGTGAAACCGAACCTACTCCGAGACCCTTTAACTGTGAACACCTCAGTCCTCAGACCCCCGCCAGGTGAGTTTTGCACTCCATTCCACGTTACCGCCGTCATTAGACACGGCAGCCGGTTTCCAACCGTCAAGAACATCCGTAGAATTCACCGACTGAGCGAGCTGCTCCAGAACGAAGCTTCCAGAACCTCACAGAGCTCCACGCTCTGGCTGGAGGAGCTCCGGAACCGCTGGGAACCCTGGTACACCGAGGACATGGACGGTAAGTATCCATCCATTATCCATCCATTATCCATCCATTATCCATCCATTATCCATCCATGATCCATCCATGATCCATCCATTATCCATACATTATCCATACATTATCCATCCATGATCCATACATGATCCATCCATTATCCATACATTATCCATACATGATCCATACATGATCCATACATTATCCATCCATGATCCATACATGATCCATACATTATCCATCCATTATCCATACATTATCCATACATTATCCATCCATGATCCATACATGATCCATACATGATCCATACATTATCCATCCATTATCCATACATTATCCATACATTATCCATCCATTATCCATACATGATCCATACATTATCCATACATTATCCATACATTATCCATACATTATCCATCCATTATCCATACATTATCCATACATTATCCATCCATGATCCATACATGATCCATACATTATCCATACATTATCCATCCATTATCCATACATGATCCATACATGATCCATACATTATCCATACATTATCCATCCATTATCCATACATTATCCATCCATGATCCATACATGATCCATACATTATCCATCCATTATCCATACATTATCCATACATTATCCATACATTATCCATCCATGATCCATACATTATCCATACATTATCCATCCATGATCCATACATGATCCATACATTATCCATACATTATCCATCCATTATCCATACATTATCCATACATTATCCATCCATGATCCATACATTATCCATACATTATCCATACATTATCCATACATTATCCATACATTATCCATACATGATCCATCCATTATCCATACATGTCTGGATGAAAATACTGGACGGTCAGTCCACACCTACCGTCCAGTATTGACAGATTTTTTCCTGGCAACTTTTTCAGGAAATTTTTTTCCAAGTAAAATTCTGAAACTGAATTTAAGGTAATAAAAGAAGTGGACAACAATATTTACATTACACAGGATTTAAAAATCAGGTCTATTTCAAAAAAAGAATAATTTGCATCTGGTATTTTAAAATATTCCAGAAAAATGTATCCTCTTATGCCTCTTAATCAGGTCGGCTGGTGAGGAAGGGCAGGGAAGATCTCCAGTTCCTGGCCCAGCGGCTGGCCACTTTGTTACCATCTCTGCTGTCTGAAGAAAACGTGAGGAAGAGGAGAATCCACTTTGTGACCAGCTCTAAGCATCGCTGTGTGAGCAGCGTGAAGGCATTCCAGGAGGGTCTGCAGCAACACTGGGGTTGCCATGGTGACGGTCATCACTGCAAAAGACATTCTGCTGTTCTGACCATCTGTGCTACCTCATCAGATCAGCACTACAACAGAAAACCATCAGCACCGTAACCGGCAGAGAGACAGACCTTTCAAAAACCGCTATCGTCATGTTTACATACCAAAGACCTTATCAGTCAGTGTCAATGTTAAATATAATAATCCAAAATCATTATTTAAGTGACAGTATTTAAGTGGTGCTTAGCAGTGATAAGTAGCATAAAAATATGTGAATGACGAAAACTTTTCTCAAACCACCTGAATCTCTTTAAAATACCTGCTTGCGTAAATGCACTAATAGCGTGCCTGTTTTAATATGTAACATTTAAATGCACTAAAACCTCATTTTAGAATCCTACCTTCATAAAATACACATTGCATCTACCAAAACTCCATCCAGATATCCTACCTGGTAAATACGTGGGTAGCACAGATTCCTTCATTTTAATATTGTTATAAAATACAGAAGAAGCACATGTTGATGCACTAAAACTTTCATCAAAAATTCTACCTCTTCTACAAAGAGGTAGAGAGGTAGAAAAACAGCAGAACATATTGGTGCATTAAGACCCTGCATCAGAATATCCTACCATTTTAAAAATATATTAAAAAATACAGAGATAGTCAATGTCATACCACTGTAATATATTTCTAATTGTAAGTGTTTGTAATAATGAAACAGTATCAGACAGGGGAAACTTAAGTTTTTTTTCAAACAGACATATACAAATGCAGATTCCTGCAAAATGTTTTTTGCGCATTGCCAGTTTTTATCAAATGAAGTGCAGCCAAAATATGTCCACTGAACTGTGCAGTTTACTGTGTACCTGAAACGAGAGCCTATGCTTAATATATACTAATATTACATCATAGACATAAATGGCTTCAATATCAAATAATATTGCCACCAACATGCTCTACTCAGCACATTTCAATAAAATAGGGACAAAATGTCTCACAAAGCTGATGTAACCCCAATGTGTTTTGTCCTAATTCACATGGTTGACGGCAAGCAATGACTTTCCTGCTTACAATATACAGTATAGTAACAACATTGTGGATGAAAAATAAAGCCATTTACAAATGTGGTTACAAGCTGCCTGTCATGTAAACTTAAAACATGAAGTAATACAGCAGCTAAAAGAAAACTAGGTTTAAAATTAATTAATTAAAGCTTACCTTAATCTTCAACTAAAAGATTAAACGAAACTTCCACAAGGTAGGATGGATTGATAGGTAGCACAAATAGTCAGAACACCTGACAACCCTTTTACCTAAAATGTTGATCTCTGACCTCTGCTCCTATAGACAGTGCTCAAGGATACAACCATGAGGTGGATGATGAACTTATGCGCTTCTTTGAGCGTTGCCGTGGTTATGTGGAAGGCGTGGAGAACAACCACACTGCACTGCTGGAAGTTGAGAAGTTCAAACATGGCGAGGAAATGCAGGCAGTGAGGAGGAGGTTGGCTGAGAAACTCGGCCTTTCTCTTCACCTACTCACCCCAGGTAGGAGTTTAGAGGCTTTCTCTCAGGTTTCAGATGTAATATAGTACTTGGAAGTTGTAAGAATATTACAGCATTTCTTTTTTTCTTTCTTTTTTACCAACTTTGCAGACCTTTTTCTCATTCTGAATGTTTAGTCACTATCAGATTGTAATGTTAGAAAGGAAATGCTCCCTTTGACCTTTTCTTCCCCTTTGGGGCTATTCTAGACTTAGTGGAAGCAGCATTTTTCATCTGTTCCTACGAACTGTCCATCAAATCCATCCACTCGCCGTGGTGCTTACTGTTTGATGAGAGTGATGCAAAGGTATGGGAGAAATATTTTCTGAAAGATATTTACAAAATTGATGTAAAGCCAAAAAAAATGCAAGGAAATGTATTATTTTTCAATAAACTCACAGTGAACCTCAATTTATTTTGGTTTAAATGCTTGATTATCAAAAATAAAGTTTGAATCATTTCAGGTGTGAGTGAAGAAGGTGGAAGGTCTGCCTTCAGTAACGTCTGTCTAGGTAGCAGAAACCAACCTCAGCAAAATATTATGGAGATTTTCTTCTTTAAAAGAAACATTGACAGAGGATGCGCATCTTGTCTTATAAGATGTCACACCTTAAACTTTCAAGGTCAAATTTAAAGTTAAAGCTGTTCTGGTCTTGAACAAAGACCAGAATAGATTAAATTGATCAATGATTTTTTTATAGTTCTTTTTTGCAGGTGGAGTTTTGATGCTGTTTCTGCCTTATCATTTTTCTACAGGTGTTGGAGTACGGTTTTGATCTGAAGCAATTCTGGAAGCGCTCTCATGGTCACTTAATAAGCAGTCTGTCCAGCTGTCCACTCTTCCATCACATCTTCAGGACCCTAGATAAAGCTGGTCGTCCTCGCAGGTGGGGTGTTCCCTAACTAAGCTCTAGGAACCCCCTTATTGATTCCCTGTTGTTTATTGACTGAACCCTGGCTGATTCCAGATCCACCGAGGCAGGTCCAGAACCAGCCTCTGTCTTAGTGGGACATGCTGAGACGCTCCTCCCCCTCATTTCCCTACTTGGACTGTATAAAGACCAGACTCTGCCCACTGCTAGCAACTACCACTCACAGCATGGTATGCAGTCTGAAATTTATCACATTTAAAATATGTATTTCTTTCTACATGCCAGGAAAGGTTCCCATTTTTGGAAAAACAAAAGTCTCACTTTGAACAAATGAACATCTCCTGTTGTTCAGAACAATAACTGCACATTTCTCTGTAGGAAGAAGTTTCCGGACCAGTCGCATCGTTCCATACGCTGCCAACCTGCTCTTCGTTCTCTATGACTGTCAACGTGGCCCCCGACTACAGCTGCTCATTAATGAGACTCCACTACACTTTCCAAACTTTCAGACTGAGGATGCACCACTCTATAGGGATGTTCGTGCAGCATACCGCAATCTGCTAGATGGCTGTGACTTCAACAAAGAGTGTGAGAGGAAGCCCGACAGCCGGAGACCCAACACTGAGCTTTGACAGCTTGGACCCTTTCATAATCTTTTTGTATCTTAATCCACCTGGTGACAAAGCCTCAAACTCACTTAGGCATCAGCCAATCAGATACTGTAGCTGCAAAACTGCTCTTCCAGGTCTGAACTTTCTTGATTAAGTGTTGCAAAAACTGACTGGAGTGATTATTCCCTCTTAGTAGAGGTGAGACACTCCATTGAAACATTTTCTGTTCATAAACTGTGTTGTATTGTTAAAGGGCATCCAGATATCTACCAGCTCTTTTCAATAGCAAACAGTTTCTGTATAATTTCCAGCCTCTGCATACAAAAATATGAATGAAATCAAGTGGAAAAATTTCTGTGTTCCACTCAACTAATGAAATTTACTGAAATTGTTTTTAGATTAAGACAAAGAATATTGCAGCAACGCCTTACTCTAATTTTTGAACTGACTCTTTAATCTGGGATTCCATCTGAAGCTTTAAGTAAATTTCTTGCTGACTCAGGTTTTATTTAAGGAAGCAATATGTATCTTTTATTTAAAATGTTTATATATATATATATATATATTAAAACTGCTGCTATTGACAACATAATATGAGCATAATATGTAAAGACGGATCTCTGTATGAACAGCATTTACATGAGTGTGATGGCTAGCACTAAGACCTTCCTCCTGGCTCTGATTGGCTGCTTCTAGTTAGCACTGGGAGAAGGCAGAGGAGCACTTTTTTTCCCACAGTTTATCTGCCTCATACCATACCAATGCAACATAGTGACAGTTTTAACTAATATTTAAAAAATATTTTTTATAAAATGTACATACTGAAGCTTTAACAGCTTTGAAATGGTGACTACTCGGGGTTTAGAAAATACCTTGTGGATGAAAAAAATTGGTTTATGTGCCAAATAAGTTTTCAGGGTGCTTTTAGTTCTGAATTAAAGCTTTAATAAAGCAAGATTTTCAGATTTAATATTTATGCTCATTTACTGAAGCAGTCATGTGGCTATTTCCCCTTTTCCCAGGTTCTACTTTGGCAGCTCCGCTTTACTCCAAAGTAATCACGTCCCCACAGACCTGGCTTGTCTGGAGCAGGGAGACACTCCATGGAGGGGACGGGGTATTGAGCCCCATCTGAAAGAGTTATTAATAAAGATTTTAAAATATAGTTACAGTCCTGTTGGGCTCTGTCATACTCCAAACTGCCACACAATTTAACAATCCTTATTGGTCCCCCCAAAACCTCATGAAACAATGAAAAATTCTACATCATTCTGCTAGTTCTTACCAACAACTCATAGGCTGAAGTGGCAGCGCAGCACGAAGCTGAAGGTCCGGGAAAAGGCTCAGGGTGATTCCACCTAATTTTTCCACTCTCTTTCGCATCTTTAATGGACTCTAGTTTAAAAACTACAACACTGAGGCTCTTCAAACCTGGACTGGACCAATCAAAATGTTCAATAACCAAACAGTGAAGTGACAAAATTAGCTCCATCCATAGAAATGCGTTAAAATAAATATTATTTTGGTTTTTATTTTTCTACTGCTTAAAAAACACTTCAGATTGCTTACAATCAGAGCTGAACAGAACACAATACCCCACCATGGTTAGATATAAATAATAAATACACAACCATCCCTCAGAAAATGATAAAAGTCACAAAAATCTATAGAATAAAAGATCAATAAAGGTATTAATCAATTATGACTTTATGTTGATAACTGCTTGCTGTGTGTCATTACAGAGTGCTGCTCCTGACCAATTTATCAGCAATTTCATTGTTTTATTAAATTTATGGGTTTTGTCTAATGATTAAAATTTGTTAGCTTTGAGACTATTTTCAAATTCAGAACATCTCAGCGATTTCAGGCCAGGGTGACAACAGCGGGAAGATTATAAGAACTTTGGTGAGGTGGCACATCCTTAGGTAGCTTCACAGAGAACTGTGGTGGAACTATAAACTCCTCCCATCAGGAACACCAGGTTCCTGTTGGGCACCCAAACATGGAGGACACAGGAAACTGATGTCAGAAAGCACATGCTCAATGCATTTCCACACCAGCTGAGGCATTGGAGGTTCATATGACCCAAGCAGTTAGTCCAGAGTGGCGTGCACCAGAACACCATGAATGCTTGCTGCCTTTGAGCGCTTCATCTTGTTGACTGAGGTCTGCAGGTCAGTCAAACCAATGGGACGTATAGTGCCACCTTCCTCCAAGCTGAGAAACGGCAAAAAAAACAAAAAAAAAACATCTGAGACAACACCAGGCGTATCTGGGACACTCGAAATGTGATTGAATAGGCGATTCTGCAGCTTACCTGGCGCTCTGGTGGTGGACAAAGTCTCGGACGCAGAGCAGTGCCGCATCACGACACGTTTCTCTGAGGTCACTTCCTGAAAAACCTTCTGTCTCCTTGGCAACAAGTTTAAGGTCAACAGAGTCATCCACCTGCAGGTGATAATAAACTATCAGATGATCTGTCAGATCAGTCTGTTCTGAATTAATCTTTATTCTTATTTGGAAGAAATATTGCAGCAATGTAGAAAGTTGTCTCTGCCACTTCATAGCTCAGGTGTGAGCCATACCTCATGCCTGATGTGTGAGCCACCAACAGGTGGCAGAAACAACTTTCTTTTTTAGTAACGAAAAAAAACAACAACAAAATAACTTGCTCATAATTTAATAGCTAGAGGCTTCAGTTCCGCCCCTTTCCTCTTCATCATGGGCTCACAACAACAGAATGCTCAGCTATTATTAGACCAAGGGAAGCCAAACCAATTTATTTAGCTAAATTGTTATATTTACTGTTATATGTACTATTGTTGAGGAGCACAAGCAGACCTCCTGATGCACAAATAGAAAAAAAAAAAAAACTCAAAAAAGTGCACTTAAAGCTTAGAGGATGAAGGGCCTACAGCCCTCCCTCATCCCCCCCCCCCCCCCCGCACATGCCTGAGGTGCGAGTCAAGTTTAAAATATTTAGCTCTTTAGATGACCCCGCCTTTCGTCCAGAGCAGACTGGATGTTTAGAGGTGGTATTTTCAAAATTGATCATTTTAATGAAAACAAATGGCAAGTTTGTTTTCCCGAGCTGAACTTACTTCTTCATTCTTCAGAATCAGACGAAGGATCTCCTCTCGCTGCCTATCGCTCTGCAGAAACAAACAGTGTTAGCATCGTCTACAACAGGATCTCTGGCAGAACTTGTAAATACTATGACTGTACATACAGGCAGGTTGATGTGAAACCTGGTTGGCATCCGCCGCAAAATGGCAGAGTCCAGGTCCTGAGGGCGGTTGGTCGCGCCCATTATGATCACCTGACATGGAGAAAACTATAAGACCATATCCACCTGCTTGTGTGTGTATCTGTGGTTGCACACGCACCTGGCAATGATGGTCTGTGTCGAGTCCATCCCACAGACTCATAAACTGTGCTTTCATCATGGCTGTAGCCTCGTGGTCTGAGCTTGAGCGACTCCTCAGGAACGAGTCTAAATTCAAAAGCAGTGATATGTACTGGAGCCAGGCAGATACTAAAACATGCAGGTGCTTAATTCGCAAACAGACTACAACTATCTGTCGTCGGAAATGTGCACATTTCTCACCAATCTCGTCAATGAAGATTATAGAAGGCTGCAGTTTAACAGCCAATGAGAATACAGCAGCAGCTAGTTTCTGCGATTCCCCGTACCACTTGTCCGTTAGTGTGCTTGGCTGCAGGTTGACAAAGCGAAACCCCGTCTCCTTTGCTGTTGCCTTGGCAATCAGTGTTTTTCCACAGCCGGGGGGGCCATAAAGCAGCATCCCTGTTAAGATGATGACAGGATAAGGCCAACACTGACTTTTACTTTTCTAGTTTCATAATAAATCTTATTTAGATCATAAATAACTTCCAAACTCATGATGAGTTCTTCCAAGGGATCAGCAGTTTTTGACCAGCGGTCTGTTTGATTTGAACTCATTCAGCTGATGTCGTTAAGTACTATCTAAGCATCCTGCCAAGAGTCTTTAAAATGTCCCAGCTGTCCACAGACAAACAATGGGAACTATTGAGTTAGAAAAATGTTTAGTTAAATTAAATTAAACTCTTGTTTGGATGATTTGAATCTCAAAGAGGTTTTATGTTTTCATTTTTAAAGAGCACTGACTGTATGCAATATTTGATCTTCTTCTTAAAGCAAACATAAAAAGTCAGCCATCAAGCAATAACATTCAAAAAGGTTGATATTAAAGATTTGGCTACTTTAAACTGACTTCTATACAGCTGCCCAAAGGAATTAACATTTCCTTTGCAATATGCTAATAAAAAAAATTATAATAAAGTTTTTTGGGTTTTTTTCATATTTGTTAAAACTGTCACAATTTCCTGACCGTAAATTATGAGCAGGCCTGTCACAGCAACAAATTTTGCTGGACAATAAATTGTCCCAGTAATTATTGTGATGAATAATAATATTGTTGTTTTGAGATCATTTTCAAATAATATGATGCCAATGGCATAACAATGCAGTAAAACATTCTCAAAGATCAACAAACTTTAAATTCCACTCAACATTTAACATTGGAACTGGAAGATATGTTCAATATTCAAATAATAAAAAAAATGAATTATGAAGTTCAGTAAACAAAATTGTCCTTCAAAAAGGGGGCTGGTTGAGACTAATGCTGGCTCCTCCTGCCTGGGATTGGTTATTTCTGTCCAGGAGCAGTGCATTTCATCAGACTGTAACAGCAGCGCAGGGAGGAGGTGGAGGAGATTGATCTTTTCAAAGATTATCTGTCTGATATTATACTGTCATGACATGGGGACAGTTTTCACAAATATGGAAAAGCATTTTTTGTAAAAGTTATCTAAGACTGACATCTTAGATAAAAATAACCAACAACGAATATATGGGAAAAACCAACAAATATTAACAGAAATAACTGAACAGCCACAAGGAACTGACAGATCAGATGCCAAGAACCAAAGGAGAACATACAGCAAGAACCAGCAAAACTTTTTTACAGCAAATATGACAACAAGAACAGACAGAGCCAAAGATCACAATCACCACCTCAGATCCAGAGTGCTCTAGCCCATGATTCCATATCCAGAAAATGTCACAATACAAACTGAAGACGCGTTTAGAGGGAACCTCCATTATCACTAAATTCTAGGGGTTGTAACATCTTTTGATCATTTTACTGCAGACCTATTCAGTCAGAAATGCTGAAACCAAACATGCTGTTTGGACCAGAATGTCTTTAGAAATTCTGGTCTCTGAACTCACTACTCTTTCTCAGGTTCAACGTGATCTTAAACCTACCTCACAGCTGCAGTCACATGACACAGAAAGCAGGTGAATGAGCTCTGACCTTTGGGAGGCTGCAGCAGTTTGGAGTTTAGGAACAGGTGTCTCTTCTGAACAGGGAGGATAACAGTCTCCTTCAGCTCAGTGATGACCTCGTCCAGACCAGCGATATCTCTCCAGGTGATCTGTCAGAGGTCAGAGATCAGACACAGTCTCGACACTCCATCATCAACTCTCAAGAGGAGAAATTACCTGCATGCTCAATGGGTCTACCAGATGAGCAGCAATACTCATCTCATACTCCGACAGCTTGACATTCTTCACTCCGATCTGACGCATCAATTTCTCAGCCTGTTGGCGACAATTCAGAAAATTCATGAACAGGCACAAAGCCGTGAATAACAAGGCTACTACACCCTCACCTGCTTCTGAGCCTCCACCTTCTGCTTTCGAGTTGGGTCAATAGTGTCCACCATCCACTTGATGGTGAAGTAGGTTACAGCTCCAAATATGGTGAGTCGGAAAAGCAGACCAATTACCTCGTTCCTCCCCAAAGGACGGGCAATGTTATCAGCTGAAACATCTTTCAGAACCATGGTCACTCTCTGAAACACACACACACCTGACTAAGCAATGTTACTTAGTTGTACATGGACCTACTCCATTCAATATGTTAAACCTATGACCTAAAATTAGCCAAAATGCCAATGTTAGCATAAATGCATGATGTCTTTCTTTGACTTGCTCCATTCAGTGTGCTAAACATAGCTAACAAATAAAGAAGTAGATCAAATGCTCATTTTAGACAGAAGGCTACGCCTAAAATCAAGAATAAATATAGTGATTCAAGCGCAGGGTGCTGGAGAAAATGTGGAATGATGAATGCGGATCACTCGCACATATTTTGGAACTGTCCAAAAATTGTTACATTCTGGAAAAATGTTTATGTATCTGTGAAGAGTATACTGGGATATGATATCCCTATGAGTAGCATGGTATTATATAACACCAAGATTAGGGTACCTGATTAAGATTCTGTTAATAGCGGGTGAGAAAGCGATCACGAGGAAGTGGGGGAAAGAGGATCCCCGGTGCCAAGAACAATGGACTGGAATAGTGGAAGAAATTTATATCATAGAAAAACTGACACACAGATTGAGACTGCAACAAACACAAATGGAAGAAAAATGGACAAAATGGACTATATTCAGGACAACAGAGAGCGGCAAAAGTGGATAAAGGCCTATGAAAACGAAAGACAATAAGGTAATAATGAGTACAAGCTCCCGAGCAACAGTTTTGGTTTATTTTTATTTTTGGTAGAGGTGGATGTGATGTGTTCAAGTTCATTGTATATGTAAATAAATGTAAAAATTTTCAATAAAAAGTTAAATGTTAGAGAGAAGGCTGATGCACTATGCTAGTGGCAGTGAAGCTGGATGGGTGATTCTCTGAATTTGGTACATTTGAGGGTCTCAGGTTACACAAACCTTATAAAACCTTACACAATGATAAAAAAAATTAGATGCAGTTTTTTAAAACTGCATCTATTGAAGGACTTTTTGAACCTCCAGGTAAATATATCTCCCCACTTTAAGCATAAAATCCCAAACGTTATTATAAATTTCTTTGTTACTTAGGTTGCTTTAAATTCAACCTCATAACAGGACAATTTGATTCCTCTATGAGTATAACACTATAACATAATTAAAATAAATCTTCCAGTTCCTTTGAGAGCTCCTGTCCCTTGATTAAAATAACTAATTGGAAATATATTTTATTTGATTGTGAATCATAAGTAGAAGACGGCAAATTGATTTAAAAGCGTTTTTCATAAATCATGAAAATGCACTTTAAGATAAATATTAAGTCAGGTTTTTTTATGTTTTTGACTTTAAATTTGTCTTTAAACTTTGCATATAGCCCAACAAATATGTTATTTAATATTTGATGTTATTTTAAAAAAATTATAACAATGTATCAAGTATCGGGGTTTAACCCAGTGTAAAAGTTGACCAGACTGTAACAGGGTTCAACATTCTGGCTGGCTTAACAACAGTCCAACATTCAACCTTGTTAAAAAAAAAACAAAAAAACAGTTTTTGTAACAAGGTTGAATGTGACGGGGTGGAAAATTTACACTAAACATTGCCATAAGTTCACATCAGCTCTGGCATGGAGCAACATAGGAGATGATGAAAACAAGAAATTAATATAAGTTTCAAAGGCAATTTCTTATTTCTTCCTAAATATCATTTACATGTGTAACATTGTTGAAAGGTTAAGCTTGACGATGACAATTTATGGATAAAAATAATCAAATATAAATAAGAAACTATGCTAACATTTAAAGACTTAAGTGATTTCACTTCCAGGGTGCTTAGAAAATTGGACTGAACCATTATTTAGAAAACAAAGGGATTGATATGCTGTTACAGGGTTGAACAAAACTGGAGGGAGATTATTATAAAGTGCTATTGTGTAAATAATTCATGGATTTTCTCATTTCTTTCATTTAGGTTAAAGTATACCTAAAAATGTTTATATTAGTAGAAATAACTTGCGGTTACAGAATATTTTTATTTGTTTTATATTCACTGAAAAATGAACATTGGTCAGTGGGGACAGGCTCAATTGGCTGACCTTTATGACCTTTACGCATTAACAATCCATAAAATTTACCTCTGAACAGAACACAGTATATACAAAGTGAGAGTTTAATGGCATTTCTACTTGAATCATTGACCAGACAGAAATTCCTCAAAAACTGTTTGTTTTTAACCTCACTCCAGTGATTTCTATGGGATCAGGGGCATCGTTGTCGCGAATTATGTCGCCATGGTGACTCCGATTTCCCTTAAAAGTAACAGCTCCCTTCTGGAGATCTTGTCGAACTTTTTGTTAGCAATTGTGTGGGGGTAAACGAGACGCATGAATGGTGACGGAATACAAATGAAGAAAAAAAGAGACGTTCGAAATTGACGGTAGAACAATAGGTCCTTCCAGGCATTGCATGAGGCAGTGGCTGCTCTCTCTATGAATTGTTATGACAGATTCGTGGCCCCTGCTACAGGAGAACCTGTGGAAATGTTTTGTGGAATAAAGCAGATGCCCCTGATTAACAGTTGAAACTTTTAATTTGAGATTTTTAAACTAATCTCTGAGGTCCGGTCTGAGATGAAAGCTCTCAATCTCAAAATTAACAAGTGTTAAGTCTGAAAGTTTATGTTCAAGATCTGGAGCGGTTTCTGAATTAAAAACAGATCGTTAACGGACATTCTGATCTGGTGGTGGTCTCGGCTTGAAGATCAGGTTTCTGTGGTAATACACATTACAACATTAAATTGACACAAGCTTAAAAGGAATCTGGCATGATGACAAGTGCGTGATCACAAAGGAAGTTTTACCAGCTTAAATGCAGTCAGCTCTACGCCGTAATGGCCTCCAGGTATAACGAAACTGGAAGTGACCTGAAGCTAACTCGTATTAGCAAGGGTTGACCTTCGCTTAATGGCTCTCACCGGCAACAATGAGTAGGGAACTATGGACCAATCCCCATAATGGACCAACAGTAGTTCCGCTTGACCCAGGGGAACACAAAACCTGACAAAGCTGATATCATCAGTAAAGAACTCACCTTATCCCAATAGGACCGGCTTCCGTATGTCTGAAAACACGGTGCAGGATCTTCTTCTTCTTCTTAATTTTTTATGGCGGTTGGCAAGCAAAGTATTGAGGTTCATTACCGCCATCTACTGGAGTGGAGTGTGGACCGGGACGCTAAACGTACATCACTCCACACAATGGACCAAACTTTATAAAGCAATGTTTATAAAGCAATGTTCAATATTTTAAGTTAATGAATGTCAGAAATCCTTTCTGAGTATCGGCTCATGGACACTGAATGAAATACATTTGCTGAACGGGAGCTGACTGCATGTTGAAGAGCTATGAACAGGACGTTTTGGGGCCTGCCAGTTCAGAAGTGCATTCAAAACTTCATTTGAAATGGCACCTTTAATTTCAGTCTTCAGTACATAAAGAACAGAGAAAGCTAAAGAGAATGCAATGTTGCACCAATGTGCACACACATGCTGTTTCCACAAAATGAGTTGGCAGACGTTACTCTCTCAGGGTCTTAGTGTGACCCTCAGGAGGAGTGCGGCAGATGTCATGGTTGGACATCTGCCAGTTTTGGAGAAGTGAAATCTCACACACACAAAATCATCTTAAAAGCGCACGCCCAGACCTCACACAAAGTAAAGGCTAGCAAAGGTCAATTGATCTCATCTCTTAAAACCACACGAGGATGAGGAAAAAGCTAAAACCGGGAGAAGTTGCCCTGTTTACTCAAACAGTGGACAACAGCAGAAAAATCATCATTAAAATAATCGTTGTTAAATGAAGTAGAGGTCCCAGGCTGGGTTTAATTTCCTTTATGTATTTATTTATTTGCTTGTTTATTTATTAACTGACAAATCACAGTTCGTCAGGATGAATAACATAATGTCTGAAACTATAGTCAGCAACGCTGGATCCCTGTGAGGGACGGTGCTGACACCCGTCCTCTTTACTCTATACCACTCAGACTTTTGGTGCAACTTCCTGAAGTAGGTTGATGACACTGCCATCATGGGGGGCATCAAAGACAACAAAAAGGAGTACAGGAGCCTGGTGAGGGACTTTGTTGTCTGGTGCAATAGAAACAGCCTCCAGCTTCCAAGACAAAGGAAGTGATTATTGACTTCAAGAGGGAAAGAGGCAGTCCATGATCAGTTCTGATAGGAGGAGAAGAGGTGGAGATCGTGCAGACCTAGAAATGTTTTGGCCAGTGGCTGGACAATAAACTGAACTGGACAAACAACACAAAACAGCTCTTCAAGAAGGCTCAGACCAGGATGTACTAAAAGGCTGAGATCCTTTGACACAGTAGTGCCCAAAGTCGGTCCTCGAGGGCTGGCATCCTGCATGTTTTAGTTCTCTCCCTCGTGTTAGTAACCTTTTCAGCTTATCAATGTTCTTCTTAGGCCTTCAAAAGAGCCATAATTGAATCCAGGTGCGTTAAACCAGGGAGAGAACTGAAACCTGCAGAATGCCAGCCCTTGAAGGCCGACTTTGGGTACCACTGCTTCAACATTTGTGAAAAGCAACAATGATAGAGAGGATATTACATGGTACACAATAACTGAGAACCACTGATTTTCTATTATTAAGGCGGCAACAGGATGTTGGTCTAATATGTTAAAATAAAATAAAAGCATGTGGCATGACGTAACCGAAGTTTATATAGAAAATAGGAAATAGTCTAAACCTCTTGGTTTTAATTCCTCAAATATCCTTAAGAAAATACAAGGAGTCAAAAAGGCCATTTTATTAATGATTTACGTTGGTGGACATTTTACGCAGTTTAGAAATTACATTGGAAGAGTCAAATTCTTGTGATCGATCCCTTATTTTGAAAGCCACTGAATGTCCTCCATACTGCCGCGGACTTGACGCTCGGTGGTCGCTGCTCGGAGATTGTTTTACTCTCGGTGTTGCTGCATTTAAACACTGCGTCTTTACAGTTCTCCGAGGCCGGGAATAGTTCCCTTTGATTTGTCCGGAGGTTATGGTCTGCGCTGGCGAGCGACGTGGTAGTTCTGTGTCGGTACGGGGGTACCTGAACATCCGGGCCCACAGCGGGAGCAGCCCCTGAGCAGCCCCAGAGCTGGCCCAGAAAGCAGCGCAGACGGCCGGGAGCTGGGTGTCCACACGCATGACGGTTAGCATCCGGTTGCTGCTGCGGAACCGGAGAGATACTCAGGCCTTTGAATGCTGTGAGAATATTTTTCGGAGGATTTCTGGTCTTACTTTATCATTTCTGTGGAGCTTGGAGGGCTAGCGAGGAGCTAGCTCCCAGCTAGCTGTCGCCGTTAGCTCTTCTGTCCTAAGCCGTCAGAGCGGGGATCGGGGGTTCCCAGCCGTGACCTGGTGCTTGGTTGACGGACCTCTGGAACTATGGCTGCTAATCTAATCAAGGAGATTGTTAGCAGGAACAAGCGGCGTTATCAGGAGGATGGGTTTGACCTGGACCTCACTTGTATCTTTCACCTGCATAATTGCATTAAAACCGCACATTTTACATTACAACTGCAGACTCACAGTTGTAGTGTTACAACTGCAAATATATCCTGTATTTATAGACTATTTATAGCTGCAGGGTTATTGTGAGAAATCACAGATTGGTAGCAGGAAAACGTTCTTTTTTCTAATTCAGCAAAGCCTCTTTGGGTTCCAGCTGGGAGGGATGTCCTTCCCGGTTGTGCCCAAATATAATGAAAACAGCTTGAAGTTCCAGAGATGAGTGTGGGACTTAAGCTGGTTGTCCTCTGATTCCATTGGGTTAAGGTGACAGGTTCATTAGGCTGGAGGAGCACAGCTTTTGGTGGACTTAAATTGATTATTTTCTCCCTGGATGTTCTGCAGGTAAAGGTTTATGCAAAGCTTCATGCTTTAGTCACAGCAGAAAACAGCAAATGCAATTTCCCTTTAATGCAGATTCAAGAGGAGTCTTAATGACATTCCACCTTCAAGCATTATTTTTTTGACTATTTCATTAAAGGTTTGAACTCACCTGTTGAATAACACAGTTTATATGGTTTATTGGAAAAAATGCATGTGAAGAACTAAGCAGACAGATTTCTGAGTTCTGTTTCAGAGTCTAACCTTCATTTCAGCATTGCTCGTCAGGTCAGGTGATCACTCAGACAGATCTTATGATGCAGCAGCATCCTCTTCCTTAATTTACATCATGAGGCAGTAAATCCACGATAGAATCAGTGGAGATGTCAGCTCCTGGTGGAGTTTGAGGTGAGATCTTCAGACAGAAATAACAAGGCTCCATAGTCTGGTCTTGATTATATGAGTTGGTGAAATACTGTGAGAACTCAGGATAGGAATGTGTAATGAGTCAGATGGACTCTTGTGCTTTAGGATATAATCTGCAGACAGGATTACATTCTCACAGTTCTGTTTTACATTGGTCACACTGATGGTGTGTTAGAGAAGGGAAATATCCTGTAATACCGGGATATTGCGGGATGTTATGTGTGGATTGTTTGTGGATCTGAACCAGCAAGGCTTATAGGGATTTCTGCCATAACTTGAGAGCACACATTTTCAGTATGAAAGCAGGATTTTATGTCTCTTGTTCTGCACAGTGACACAGTTGGTAGCACTGTTGCCTTGTTGCACAAAGGCCCTGAGTTCAATTCTTGGCCCCGGGTCTTTCTGCATGGAGTTAGCATGTTCTGCCTGTGCATATGTGAGTTCTCTCTCGGTACTCCAGTTTCCTTCCACTGTCCAGAAACATAACTCTCAGGTTAATTGGTCTCTAAAGTTTGAGAAGAAAGACATAAAATCCTGCTTTGAAACTGAAAATGTAAGCACAAGTATTAAAAGTTTTGAGAACAAAAGAGACAAGATCCTGCTTTCAGAAAGGAAATGTTTGCTCTCATTATGGCAGAAAAATTCCTACTTACAGATTCTGATGAAGTTTGGTCTGCAGATGCAGAAATTCCATTTGATGATTCAGCCTGAATCACATTCAGGAAATTAAAAAAAAAATAAGAAAGCAGTTTATAACTCAGTTTGCACTTGTGTATTTCTCTTGTTTGTCTGATCTGTTGAATAAGTGGACGTGCAATTCCAGTCGTTGAAGCAGTTTGGCCTGCACAGATGCTGACAAGCCGTAGCTTTCTGGTCACTTGGGACATGTTGCAGCTCAGGAAACTCTGGCTCAGGTAAATTGGGTTCTGGTCTAGTTTACAATATTTTTGTTTCAAGTATTTTTATTGCAAGGCTTCCTTTGAGCAGAGATCAAGATAGAATTGCTTCATTTGACATTGCACAAGGAGACTGTGCGTAAAGCCATGGAGGCTGTTGCTGCTCAAGGAAAAGCCAAGAAGTAACAAGAGAGAAATTAATAAATAAATAACAAACATAATCGTCTATTTGTGGGAGTCACCACAAATAGACTATAAACAACAACAACGACATTGAGGGTAAACTACAAGCTCTATTGTGTTGCCTTCTTAAACACAATATAAGAAGGCAAAGAAAAACAACCAAACAAAACACATAGAAAAGGGCATTGAAGGATAACATCTCCCACTTCCCTTATGTAACTCCCCTAGTGAGTGTTACCTAGGTACAGTAAGACTACAGCTTGTACTATACATTTTTTTGTCTTTCTTTTCCATAAGTGATTGCAGAACCTCTTGCAACCAGATTTTTCACTGGTTTCCAGTTTTTTTTTTAAATCTCCGAGTTTGTTATTGAGAATGTACTGTATCAGTCAATATTGCGATCCAGGCTTTAAAAGTTGGGCGTCCTTTTCCAGGACAGCAGGATGAGTTTCTTGGCAGGGGATTCAATAGAACAGAAGGTTTTCCTCATTTGGTTTTAAAATGTTTCCTCACTCTGCCTTCAGAATGGCTGAAGCAAACGGTGATCTGGTATGGAGCAGAGTATAAACCTGATCTGGACCCAAACATACAATCAGTACTCAGATGTTGGTTTGGTTTTAAAATGACCTTGTGTATCTGGGGGCCACCATCTAGTCTGACTGAGCAGTGTCAGAAAGGCAGTTGATAAAAATTGACTGAAGGTGGTGCTATGTGCTGCAGAATTAAGAAGATCTGAATGGATTCAGAAGTTGGATAAATAATCCCAAATTTTTCCTGTGTTAGGATTTAAGCAAATTTAAATGTGATTCCACAGATGATGTGTTTGTTGGTGGTAAACTCCAGCAAAACTGTAATTATTCCAGACAGAACAAGAAGAAATGTACTGATGGTTTGCTTCTTCAGAGGTTGCATCAGGTACTATGTCTGGTTTGGTCTAATTCTGTAAAATCTTACTGAGAGCTGATTATAAATTCTGATCAGTTCTCAGAACTACCTGGGAAGGCACTATAAGGAAATTGATGGAAGCAGTATAGTTTAAGGAATTGAACCTGTTCTTTTGGTGTTGGGTTGCTCTGCTCAGAGTGCAGGGGGAAAGCTGTACATTAAGCTCATGTAACTGTCACACTACAGGCCTGGTCATAATAGATAAGAAGTTAATTGGTTTATAGTTGCTTCTTACAGAATAGTGTGAAGATTCCTTTTAAAAACAGTGTTCTCTGCAGTCCTAAATGAGGCTTCACTTTAGGTTTTTTTTTTTTCCTCAGAGTTCTGTGATTTTGAGTATTAGCTGATATCAGGACCCGATCCAATACTTCAAAACTACATTTAAAAGAATGAAGAAACAGATCCAGGTTGTCACTTATTTTTTATTTATCATTTAACAGAACATAGGCAGTGTAAATCAAATACAAGTATCTTCAGATGTTTCAGTTCAAAAGACATTGGGCAATAAAAAAAAAAAAAAAAAAAACAGTATTTACATAATATTTCATCCAGAGCAAGGTCACCGGCAGCCCTGTGTGTGCGTAATTCCATTGGAATGAGGAAACGGGACGGAGTTTCCTCCACTACTGACTGATGAGCCAGAAACGGCTTTGGAGGAGGGAGGATGTGAGCTAGATGTGTCACTAGTCGCTTTTTTGGAGGAAAAAAAAAATTAACCAGGGATTTGAAAAATTCCCCGTTATTTTGTGGTTAAGTTGGCAACAGTGCTCCCAAGCTGATGTTGTGTTCTGCTTTGCTTTACAGCCGTCACTGCTGCAATGAGTTACACGTGTTGTTTTGAGACATTCTGATTCTGTACCACCACATAATCTAGCTACTCTTATTAATTCCCATTTGTGTTTAAGATCAATATGCATATATATCTGATCTCTGATTGGGATGTAACACCTGATCCCGATCAGTTTGAAAGCATGTGATTGGCCTGATTTCCAATCACATAATCGGATTGGGACACCTTTTTTCTGATATGGGCAACCGGCATCTTGTGGGGTGGCATGAGCACACCCACCCACCTCCGCTCTTACAACCAGAGGATCTGAATGTCAATAGTCCTTAGAGCCACACCGGCAGGGACTGGCTCTCCTACGCCTTGGATATTGATTTAAAAAAATTATTGCGCTTAAATGGGCGGAACTGAGTTTGTCATGGTTTATATAATACAAATGTGAGACCAACACTGTGAGTCATTTGAGTTGTTAAGAGAATGAGTTGTAAACTATTTATGTTGCCGATTTAGAAACTTTTCTCGGAGCAGTTCCACAGGTTCTTTTCCTGAACTTACCAATCAGATATCTATCCCAACATCATTGCCATGGGTTTTCCCGCTGAGCGACTTGAGGGCGTCTACAGGAACAATATCGATGATGTCGTTCGGTGAGTCGCAGACAGAACAAGAACACAGCTGGGCCACAAATAGAATATCTTTATGAAGAAATATAACTGATGTGTTGTGGGTTTGCTTTAGGGCCGAGATACAGACATCTGCCTCGTTAGCAACTTTCTCAAAAAACTATCATAAATAAGAACTTTAGAGCCTTGTATCTTCCATGATTTACACAGTAACTGTAAAGCTGGGAGGGTTTAAATGTTTCACATGTTAGTTGGCTCATGTGACAATGATATAATGACCATGATATAATGTGACCATGATATAATGTTTACAGTCATACCTTCACTAAAATATTCACATTATGGGATGGATTTATATGTTATAAAAGCAATGAGAACAAAAATGTACTTAATCTAAAAATAACCTAGATGTATTTAGATAAAAATACAACCAACACCAACAAGACATCACAAAAGGAGAGGATCTAAGGGGCACAATTTAACGAACAATACCACTGAAGAAGAAGTAAAGAGGAGAGATTACCAATCTTAAAATCAAATGCTTATAACAATCATAGTGGTTTCTAAAGTGCAATAACATGGAGCGTGTCAGGTATAGACACGTTCCATGTTATTGCTTTCATCTTGAAATTTTGCGTATGTGCACAACAGTGGAGAACAAAAGAATTATTTTACTTGCCATCCTGAACCACGCTGGCGTGGTATTACAATTCCTTCAACAAAATTAAACCTGGATATGTAGGTATTGTTAATTCAGTGCAGTGAGCAAGAGAAAAGGGGAAATAATGTAGAAAACCATTGAAGAACAACTCAGAACCACTCATTCATTTTTATCATTGGTAATGGGGCTGTGCTGCACACAGACCCATTGCCATAGCAACTGACTGATCACAGCTCCAGAGTGTATCGGGATTCAACATCAAAAAAATTGGAGACACTTCCCACAGAAAAAGCAGAAGATGCTGTCCGTTATGACGTAGAGTTACATAGTAAAAGAATAACAGCAATAATTTGATTTATTTAGCCGGAGTTAAAAAAGAAAAATGTGTCAATTTTTCAGTCATGTTTACTCATGCATTTCTAAGTGTCAGAATACCAAATAAATATTTCATTTGGAGCTAAATATGTAGTTTTCAAAACTAAGTAGTTGGTACCAAATTAAATATTTGTTTTACTTGCTAAATATTTAGCTTAAGACTTAAGTATTTTATTAACTAACCATTTAATTTCCAATCTATTTTTCAAGCTAAATCGTAGCACTAACAGTGATTGATGAGCTAATTTATACACCTGCTCTACCGATGATCTGTCAGTTAAAAACAAAAGTTTTTGCGAAGGGACGCAAAAGAAAAAACATTCCCCATATCCCCTCTTGGGCTCCATGGTCAGTTAATGTGAGGGTCGCTTTATCTTTCTTTTTACTGAACCAAGAATACTAAATTCTGCAGCACATCTAAATGTTAAAGTCGTCAAAGTCGAGCTAGCATAACTGACCTACTTCCCTCTTTGTTTCTCTTTTTAAGATAAAACTTTGCACTGATTGGTGAAATGTGAAAAGAAAATTTATTGCATTTAACAAAAAATACAAAGAACTGACAATTAAAGTCAACTAAAAGGGTGCACTACAAATGGCTAACTAAATTGGTCAGATTAATGAAAACAAATTTAAAGATAAAAATCAAAACTATTCAAACTTATATATAAGGTAATATTAAGAAAGAACAGAAAACAGTTACCCTTACTGTCTCTGTGTGACAGCTGTCATAGATGCATTGCTTTTCCACTAATTGTCAGCACTACCACAACTAGACAACAACTAGTTGTAGTAGGAAAAAGTTATAATTGAAAACAAATAAGGAGGTAGAGAAAAGTGGATCAGTTATGCCAGCTTGACTTTGACAACATTATCATGTAGATGTGCTGTGGAATTTGGTGTGTTTCAGTTCAGTTAAAAAAAAGAGAGAGTTTCAGACCACTGCCCTAAGTGTGTAGGACCTTCACTTCTGGTGGTGTGGAGAGATACAGATGTGGACACAGGTGTGTGATCTACAAAGGCATGAACATCACCACTGCAACAGATTACATTCACTTTGAGAGAGAAGAAACCACTCTGAGGAAACGCAAACTGATCTATGATACCTAATTGACTTATTTTTATTTTTAGGTTCTTGGATTCCAAGCACAAGAATCACTATAAGATCTATAACTTGTAAGTACCACTTTCCTCTTGTTAGCCTGGTTCAACTTTTGAACCCTTCAGATTTAGAAGCATTTCTGGTAAAGACATTTAGAGGTCAAGATTTCTTGCTCTAGATTTTTCCTCCTCAGGGAATTATGGAGGTGTTAATTAAAAAGTCTAAATAAACTCCAGCTCATACAAAACTCAGCTGCTTGCCCAACTGCGTACTAAAGTTGGACGATTGGAGAAAGTTATCGACCATCAATTTTTTTCTCTGAATTACTTTTTATTCCACTAATGATAATTCTTGATTGAAGCCAAAAGGCACAGCACACCATCATCTGCTGCTGTTCCATTTTTTTTCCCTCCAAAGTGCCTCCAAATGAAGTGGCAATTTATTTACCAAACCTGGAAAAGAAAGACACTACCTTATTTTCAGAAAATACATTTATTGAAATACAGTGAGGAGTGACTTGTCTTTACCTAGTTTAATTGTCCTTATTGATTTGTATGACCTCAGAAATGGTGAATTAAACACAAACTAAAATTAAAAGAAGAAAAACAAATCTCTGCCACAGTTTTTGAGTGATTTGATGGATTCAAAATAAATGATGTAAACATCCAAAAACTATGCAGAATTCAAACAAGGAGAAAAAGGAAAAGTCTGCAATTTCTTCTCGATAAATTTTAGAAATGCTTTTATGAAAGAAACAAGCATGTCATAAAATCCTACTTTGAATTTAGCAGTATGCAGCCTGTGTAGATGGTTAACAATTTTACCGGTGAATCTGAAGACGAGTTCAGAAGGTGCACTCAGGACTTTGTGGTCTCACGAGCCACAAATTTGTAGTTAGGCAAGCAAGCTGATGTTAGCTCCTCTCAACGAGTTGCTTCCCACAGACGTCTATATTGGGACATCAATTGGAAATGTCTTCTATGCATTTTTCTTTGAGAGATAGTTACGACTAAGGTGCCCTGTGTCCATATGGGGTGGTAATGTTCTTATTGAACTGTGTTTTGTATTTCTGCTAGTGAAAAACATTTTCAGAGCTTGCTTGCGCAATTGCAGTTATGGACTGTCCACAGCCTGTGGTTTACCTCTTCATCCTATTTAAAGCCAAAGCAATCCCAAATAGGTGACTTTGTTTTTTTTTTTTACTTTTGTGTTCTAAGCTGGTGAATCATTGTTAGGTTAGCGTTGTTAACACACAAAAAAAAAATAGTTCAAAAGTCACCTGCGTGAATATATCACCCAATGTCATTTGATAGACTGACATATATTGGCTTGGGAAATCCTGAATATTGCCCAACCTTAACTCACACCCTCTCCATTGACCACAAAATCACAGTTCTTCAAAACTCTAAGCTCATTGAATTCAAAATACTCCTCACTACCATCCATTACTGTTATGACCTTCTCACTTTGAAATCTACAAGTTAAATTTAAAGTGAGATTTCATACAGATTCTATTCTCAAGACCCATTTTTTAAAATTTCTCTTACTGTGTAACATATCCATAATTTCTTATTACTGTCATTTTTAATCTTATTATTGTACAATATCTGAGTTTCCTGAAGGACGTCCCTATTTCCTTAGGTGTGCAGAGCGACACTACGACACTTCGAAGTTCAGCTGTAGAGGTGAGACAGTCCCCCTCACTCTGACCTGCTGGAAGACCAATTTTTGTATTTGTCCTTACTAACTACTCAGTTCTGTTTCAGTGGCTCAGTATCCATTCGAAGATCACAACCCACCCCAGCTGGAGCTAATCAAGCCATTTTGTGAGGACTTGGATCAGTGGCTTAGTGAAGATGAGCATCATGTGGCTGCCATCCACTGCAAGGCAGGAAAGGGCCGCACTGGAGTCATGATCTGTGCCTACTTGCTGCACCGAGGGAAGTTCCAGGAAGCTCAGGAGGCCCTAGATTTCTATGGAGAAGTCCGGACAAGAGATAAGAAGGTCAGTAAGTCAGGAACAGCAAAAACCAGGTAAAGATGAAAACATGTGTGTTTGCCATATGTTACAAGCAGGAATATCCTTCCGGTCATAGAGTTTACACCATATCCTTGATCCTTCTCCTGATCTATCTTCCTTATCATGAATCAGGTCGGAATGCAAATAAAGTTGGAGCTGCCGATTATGTTAGGTTTGAGGTTTAACAATAAGGAGAAAGAAACAACGAGCAGCCAGATCTTTATGATCCTTATGTTGTAGTTGCAGCTGGTTGAAATGAGCTGCAATCTTTGATCTGCTTTAAATGGACTAGAGTTCGTTTCCTCTTTGGTTTGAACCTTTTATGCAGGTGTAAATATACTCAAGTGGACCATGGTGCTCCCCAAACAGAGAGACCCACTTTTTGAGTTAGTGGTCTGAGTCCACTTTCAAACTAACACTGGTACGGTTTGCTTTTGGAGTGAATACAGACCTGTCTCGTTTTGAACCAACTACAGGAAACATACGTCTTTTTGGACTTCTCGAGACACCGTTGCTGGGCATCATGGTAAAAATGAGCCCTTCAGTGTTGCTAACACGACTACTGCATGTACTAATTGTAATGAAATCCATACATGATCTGTCGTCTTCTGCTTAGCAATGCTGCTGCCAGCATGTTGTGTCATGGCTTATTAAGTTAGCAGCACGCATTTGCTGACGTGGTTCCAAAATTAGAAATATCACTTTGCGAAACCTGAGTTGAATGACCAGCTCTTGACATTCAAAATTGTATTGCAATTGTAATAACAGCACATGTTAATGCGTACAACATAAATTCAGCATGCAGGACTTGCATGTTTGTTTTCTTTCTTTCTGGGTCTGTGCTCTGTTCCGCCCCTCATCATTTCTATCAAATGTTAGCAACAATCATCAATGACATGGCTTTGTTAATAAAGTATAGTTCACTTTCAAAAAGTACAACGTGAAAGTAAACTGCACCAAACAAAAAAAAAAAAGTCCACTTTTGGTCTGAATGAAACAAGTGGACCAAATGACTTTTCTGGTGTGAATACACCCAATCTTGACATGGTGGTTCTTTGTGTGTGTTCAGGGTGTGACCATTCCCAGCCAGCGGCGCTACGTCATCTACTACAACTTTCTGCTCAGGAACCGGCTGCACTACAAACCTGTAGCCCTGCTCTTCCACAAAATGTTGTTCGAAACCATCCCCATGTTTACGGCTGGTACATGCAGTAAGTTCTAGAATCCACATCCTTGTTAATCTTTTGTAGTCCAGAGCCCAAGTTTCAGTCTCTGATTTAGTTCATACTGAAATCATGTTAGAAATGTAATAGTGGTTCTAGACACTTTTCAGTTCTCGAATCAGACCCAAACTGAGGTTAGTCCTGTATGCTGACAGTCTCAATTCTATGTCTCTACCCCGACCAAGACAATAGTCCAAACTGCTCTGGGTTCAGTTGTTCGACTTCCATTTCAGTTCATTATATGACCTAGGAGAAGGGAGTGACGCTCAGGTGTTTTTATGTCTTCAGATCCTCACTTCGTGGTCTACCAGCTAAAAGTGAAGATTCACACCTACAACCCTGCTTATACTCGCAGGGAGGACAAACTGATGTTGTTTGAGTTCCCTCAGCCACTTCCTGTCTGCGGAGACATCAAGGTGGAGTTCTTTCACAAGCAGAACAAGATGATGAAGAAGGTGAGCAGGAGTTTATGGTGAAGAAGGTTAAGAGGAGATAGTAAGGATGTTATGGTGAAGCTCTCTCGACTTTGTTGGTTTTAAAACTGAGATAATTTTATCTTTTTGAATTAGAAAAGGATAGAGGAGCGCTTGCCAGTTAGTCAAATCTCTGATTCTAGAAGACTCCTTTCAGTGTTACATGACCAGGTTTTTGTCCTGGTTGTGTAACACTGAACCAGCTCTCCACCCTTAGTGAGTTCTGGAGGACACATGGGAGTTTGCCCAACCATATGTCTTTTGTGGACTAGGAGAAGGCATTCGACTCGGTCCCTCTGGAATTCTGTACAGGTTCTCTGGAGTATGGGTATCACTCCTTTTGTTAGGTTAGGTCCCTATACCACTTAATACCACCTTGCTGGCATTAAGTTTGGCTTGTGTCCAGTGAGAGTTGGACTTGCCAAGGTTGCCCTTGGTCACCAGTTCTGTTCACAACCTTTATGTACAGAATTTCTAGGGGGAGCCAAGGTGTTAAAAGGAGGTACGTTTTGGTGGCATTAGGATTGTGTCTCTGCTTTTCACATATTATGTGGTTCTACTGGCTTCATCAGATTGTGGTCTCCAGTTTTCATTGGAACAATTTACAGCCAGGATGAGCGAGCCAGCCAGCATCTCTTGAGTGTACTTCAAGAGGTGCACCTCACCTCAAGAGATGATCTGTTGATTAACCAGTTGATCCTTCTCTCTTCTATGGTCGCAAGCTTTGGGGAGTGATTGAAAGAATGAGTGGCTGAAATGAAGTTTTTCCACAGTGTGTCTGACCTCTGCCTAAGGGAGAGGTGTCTGAGAAGCTTGGTCCTTCAGCAGGGCCTCAGAGTAGAGCCTTTGCTTCTTCACATCGAGAAGAGCCAGTTGAATTGGGTCAGGCATCTGGTGAGGACGCCTCCCAGGTGAGGTGTTCCGGGCACTTTCAACCCACGTTCTTAGCAACACGACTGAGTCTAGAATAGATCTTGCTACTCCAGAACACACTGAGGGACTGTGCTTTTGGAGTGCCTTGGGATTCCCCCGGAAGAGTTGGGGAAGTGTTTGGTTTTGCAGTTAGAACATAATCTGGATCAGAACAGATGTAAAAAGTCTGCAACTTAATAGGTGAGAGTTGGGAATGTTGTTTAAAAATAAGTTGGGTGAACAGTTGTTTGTTTTTTTGTTGGCTTCGTTTAATGTCAGAGGTTCTGTAAATCCAGAATTTTCTATTGCCAAAAGTAGAACAAAAATCTCTTTTCATTTTTTACGGCTCCAGATGTTCTTACATTCTACAAGATGTTCCACTACTCCTGTCTTTCCAGTTTAATCTGAGTTTGAGTTTCCACATGGATCTTCAGGCATTCCTAGTGATGAAGCTCAGGTTAAATCTTCACCACTGTGAACACCTGAACTTATAACACAAACCATCTCAGCTAACTGATCCCTGGTATTTCTTTTACTTTGTTCTTATAGGAAAAGATGTTCCATTTCTGGATCAACACATTCTTCATCCCAGGGCCAGAGGAGTCCTCGGACAGACTGGAGAACGGCAGCTTTGCAACAGTTCGAGATCTTTCTGACGGAATGTTTCAGAATCCAGAGTTGATGATGGGGACTGAGGCCAACGACAGGGACTTCTTGGTTTTGACACTTGACAAGAATGAGTTGGATAAAGCCAATAAGGATAAAGCCAACAAGAACTTCTCCCCAAACTTTAAGGTAGAGCCAGATTGATGCTTCAGTCATTGTTTATTCAGACTGAAACAACGTCCACTTTTCACAGATGTTCTCTGAATCACTTTTGGATAATCATTCTTTAACTTTTTCAGGATTTCTTTATGGAAAACTAAAATAAAAATTTAAAATAAATTATATTGCTCATTTGGGTGCAGGAACATTTGATTTTTCTGCTCATTGAGAACATCCTATCTATTTCTGTTCCTCAGGTAAAGCTGTTTTTCACAAAGACTGTGGAGGAAGGAGCCAATTGTGACACATGCAGTATGTCGACCTCAGTGACACCAGATGTCAGCGACAACGAACCGGATCACTATCGCTATTCGGACACTACAGACTCAGATCCTGAGAACGAACCACTCGAAGATGATCTCCATAGTCAGATCACAAAAGTCTGACACACACACAGACACGCACTTATTCAGTGTAAAGGTGTACATAAATACACAAGCCCAGAAATGCTGGATGGAGACCAGTATTCGACCAGAAGTCTGGGCCAGAATTGATCTGTGGACTTTGAGTTTAAAGAGCTTGGATCAAATAATGACACCAAACTTATTTTAACCAAACAATCATGATGGGGTGAACAGTTGAAAGTGGCTGGGGCACAGAATGGGACATTTTATCAGAAACTGAGTGAAACTTGAATCTCGAAAAGTCAGAGGTTTTCTTCATTGAGATGAACCTAACCTAACCTACCTACAATCTTTTATTTCATCTCTCTTTTTTTTCCCCAGAAGAATATTTTTGTTTTGGAAACAAAAATATTCTAACTTTGTTTCCATTTCTGTCCTGAGTCGCGGCTTTGGTTCTCCTCTCTGAGAATTAAATTATTGTCCAAAATTATGTCACCTGCTTTCCTACTGAAATGTTTCTTTAAATTGATCAAAATCCAATCGGGATCAAAAAAGATTCAGATGTGAACCTAGATGCAGATCTGCATCCAGAGGTTTTAAAATTAGAGCATCTGGTTGAGTTTGATCCCAACGCTCTGGTAGGAAACTTGAGGAGGTTCTGTTGAAGGATGTAAAGCAGTCTAGATCACAGCAGTTTGCAGATTTTCTGGCTAATTGTTAACCATTGCTTTAGAATTGTTTTACTAGTCAGAGCAGAAAATCTTTAAACTTAGCTTTGGATTCTTAACCCAAGAAGTCCTCCCGACATAGTGCTGTGGATTTCCAGCTGAGATTGATCCAAACCGTTGTGTTGGCACAGTATGTGTTTGGATTTCTTAGTTCAGAAGTGTCAGATTCCCAGGACTCTGTAATGGTAATAATTTATGGGGTTCCATGTCTGTGGCAATGTGTCACTCAGAGGGAGTTTCGAACCCTGCTGATGAAATCTATTCCACATCAACTGGCATTTTGTCAATCAGCTGTTGGAGTATGTTCAATCCCAGGTATAGGAAGTGTATTCTGTTTTCCTGTAGCTTCCATCTGTCATTAACCTAAACAGCAAACAAGCTCATCTCTAACCATCCCTGTTCTGGATGCTTCAGCCTTGTAAATATTTCTGAGCATGTTCAATCCAGCTAGAAAAGCTTTTCTGGTTGTTTGGCAGCTTTCTGTTAGTTTTATGAACTTATCATATAAGCTACAGAGCCGTCTGGAAATGCAATCCAAGTTTGGGAAAGATCATAAGGTCTTTAGAATGACTGGTCTGAAACTGTTTAAGAAGGCTGTGCCCTGACCCCCTGGAGTATCACTACATCTAAGCTGGTTTTCTTTAAAGTTTCTGGTGCTAAAACATTTCAGAAGGTTCAATGACAGAGCCTCCTAATGGGCCACATCTGTCAAATCAGAAGTGCTTCTGATGTTTAAGGTAAGGTAATTTTATTTATATAGCACATTTTCAACAAGGCATTTCAAAGTTCTTCACTTAAATTTTTTTTATGTTTAATGTTTGTTCAAACTGGGATCATATAGTCTAGACAGCAAGTTTAAATTTCTCTGGAAGTACTTGGAGACGTTCCAGTTTAGATCCTGACTCTGGTCAGTTTTTCCTCTTTCCTCTTATGTTGGATCAATGCTGTAACTGTATTTGCTATGCACAGTCTTCAAATTGGACCACATGGAAACTGACTTAGCTGGAGCGTATCTGGCAATGAAGGACTCTCAACCTTTAGTTCAGATCTGTGGAAACTGAAGTTGTCTAATTTGAGAAGTTCCACTGGTCATGAAACTTCTCAATCTGGATCTAGATCAAGTCCATGGGGTAAAAGTTAAAGCTCTGATCACACATTGGAGTGGTAGAAACTTGGAGAACATTCTCTCTCAGTTTCCTCCAAAAGGAACAGAAAGGCAAATGCATTGTTTTGTTGAACAATGAAGACATTTGGGTTTAACATCAAAACATAAGCACGACACAAGAGTTCAGAATGTCACCTTTCATTTCCTGGTTTTTACATGTTAAACAACTCAACACATACAACCCTTTGTATGAATTCACTCATTTTTCAAATGAGCCAAACTATTAGAACACGTGACTGAAAGGTGTACCGTGTTGACCAGGTGTTGCCTTTAACGTTGATTGTTCAAACATTAAATAGCTCTGCTTGACTAGTCTACTCTTTGGCTTTGCTTACACCTATTAGGCATTTCTTGTTGAAGAGGATAAACCAACATGAAGACCAGACAGCTGTTTATGGGAGAAAAAGCAAGCCATTTTGAAGCTGAGAAAAAAAAGGAAATGAATCAGGTCCAATGGCCAAACAATGTACATAACAAGCACAACTGGAATGTTCTAAATAAAGAAACTACTGAGCAACAGACGTCAAACAGGCTGGCTAAGGAAAACAGCAGTAGCTGATTACAGAAATATTGGGAGAGCTGTGAAGAAAAATCCCAAAACATCAGTAAGTGACATCACCAATGACCCCTCAGAGCAGGGCTGAACGTATCATAAGCCACTGTTCGAAGAAAACTCTGAGAGTAGACTGTACTGAAAGATGCAAACCACTTATAAATAGAAAGAACCGGAAGGCCAGATTCCAATTTGCAAAGAAGTGCAGAAATGAGCCAGAAAACTTGTGGTACACAATCTTATGGACCAAGATTAATTTCTTCCAAAGTGATGGAAAGGCCAAAGTTTGGAGAAAGAAAACTGCTTTGAATTCAAAGCACATAAGATGATCTGTGAAGGATGGTGGTGGTAATGCCATGGCTTGGCCGTGCATGGCTGCTTCTGGAACAGGCTCATTTTTTTTTTTATTGATGATGGTAACAGCAGAATTAATTCAGAACTGTACAGAAACATTTGGTCTGCCAATTTACAGGGAAATGCATCCAAACTAATTGGGAGAAATTTTATCACGTTGCAGTACAATGACCCAAAACGCACATCCAGCAAAACCAAGACAACAGAGGGAAAAAAATGGAAGGTTTTAGACTGGCCAAGTCAGTCACCTGACCTTATCCCAAAAGAGAGTGTGCATGTCACCTCTTGAAATGTTTGTTTTGGGGAGAAACCCCAGAAACTTACTTACGACATTTACTTGTAAAAAACAGCAAATAAAATTTGACTTTCTGAATTCTTGTCATGTTCATGTTTTGATGTTAAACCCAAATGTTTTCAAAGCAATTTGCCTTACTGTTCCAATACTTTTGGAAGGCACTGAATATTTTCTGTCTGGTGTTGGTAATGGTTCCATATGTCAGATGAAGGGTTATGAAAATACAGAGAACTGACAACTGGGCAAGAGTTGTTAGGTTTTTGAGATGTTGACGTTTTTCAACAGTCTTCCACATTTCTAACCCTGTATCAATGAGGAAGTGTTCCTTATTGATTCTTGGGAGTCTTTTTCCCCTCCAAAAGTAAATCTTAATGGGGTAGGGTTAACATAATCTTAATGGGGGATTTGGACTTTGTAAGGGATGTCTTTGTTCATCACCTTATTTGCCTCTATGAAGGTTTTTTTCTTTTGGGCTTACTGTATACTGCTTAATGTGTAAATTATGTAATCTGAACTTTACCTGGCACTAGGAGTTAAGGCAGAATGAACTAAATAACCACATTGACCAGCTGCTCATTTTCTGACAAGCGTCAGGTGGATGAATTTATGGCCTTTCCTGAAGGTGCTGATATGCTAAAGTGTTTCAGAACACTTTAGCATATACAGCTGATCCTCAGCTGAGATGCTCAAATGTTTAGAAGTGGAACCAGCATGGTGTTCAGTTGGAAGCAGAATCATCTGTCAGAACTCCCTGTATGAATAGTGATGAGCTTCAAATCAACGGTCATTTGACTTTATAAGACAGACCAGGAGAACTTCAAATCAACTTCAAATCAACGGTCATTTGACTTTATAAGACAGACCAGGAGACAGAATCATGTTTTATAAGACATATATCACACTGTTCATGTTTGAATCAAAACTAGGGTTTGATTTGACCATTCAGGATCCATTTCAATCTCCATTCCTATCAACAAAACGCTCACTTGGATGTTTGGGTTGAAGTGGTCGTTGGTTGTCCAGTCAGCAATTTTTGTTTAGCTGATCAGCAAAATTTTGTTTGTATGTTGATGCTTGAACTTGTACATTTCATAACATCAGTGTTCAGCTTTATTGGAACATCGGATTCACCTACTCGGTGGATATTTTAAGTTCCAAACAATAAAAACCTTCAATCACATCTGTAGATTGTTCCTGTAGGATGGCTGTCATAAACACATTGATGAGTTCTGAAATCATCAGCTTCAAAAGATGTTTTTAAATGTTTATTTTTTTCAGTCAGAAGTCAATCAGCAGAGTTACTGTGACACTGAGTTGTTACCATACACACAAATGAACACACATTATTCTGACCCCTCCCCTCTTTTATCTGCCGCTACCCATTTTATAATGAAAAAAAAACACTGTAAAGTGAATAAACTATTTATAAACAGCCATGATGCTTCTCTTTCTTTAAAAACTACACTTACTGATCTTCATGAAGTCAAAAGGTGGATGACAACCTGAATGAGATGTCAGATGTTAGAAGCAAGCTGTGAAACTAAAGCATTTCCAACATTGATTGTCCTGCTGGCTCATGCCCTGAAGATGTGCTTCTGCTCCCATAATGCACCAGATTCTGTAGGGTTTGATCCAGTTCTCTGAGAACAGAATGAAACCATGCAGAATATGGTTCTGTCTGAGAACTTCAAGATCTATAGGAGAACCCTGAGGAGAAATGAAGCAAAGGTTTTAGGAAACAGTACAGAAGTTCGTTCTGCTGTTCCACAGCAGACTTTTAGAATTTAGAGTAAACCAACAGAACCATGTACAGAACCATTTACTCTGTTTAAATCATTTACTCTGAGGCCACTTTCCAGGGAAGTGTTTGAACAGATGAATCAGCAGTAGTTTTGCCCAGTTGGAAACCATTAAATGACAAAAACTATTATTCCTTTGTAAGCATGTCATGACTTCCTGACACTTGTAACACAGACCAGTGTGACACGATTTATCCTGGAAGCCAAACCAAAGCTGAAGATACTTTTATTACATTAAGTGGACGACACCAGAATACGAGATACAGCTAAATAATGTAGATACAAACAATGCAAAGAAAATTGTTTCAAAACTTTTGCTTTCTTTCAAATATGATAATTTCTTCTTCAAATCTTTGAGTGCAAGCATTACAAGTTTTCTGAGGAAACAGATGGGCTCCTGCCTTCAATTCAAACTGAAAATGCAAGGTTTTTATTTGTGGCAGTAAAATTTCCCCATAACTAGGTCAGTGTGTGGAAGAGTGGAGAGAAGTTTTTAATCCCAATCATTTATTCTTAGAAAAACCAAGACATCTTTGGTTTTATCTTTGAATCACTTGATGCATTTAGGTAAATGACCCCAGTCAATGGATCAATAGGTTAATATACAGATAAGTGTGCAAATTAGAGAGAAATGTTCTGCTTGACATCTAGTGAGAGCTGAAGTGCTCTGCACACACTCAGTGCAGATTCCACACAGCCGTCAAAGTTGGAGTGGGTGAAAGCATCTCCTCCACAGATGAGCAGCGGCTGCTCCAAGATAGTCATGTGACCTGGACAATTGGGCACTGAGGTCAGCACCTGCACAAGGAATGGACAGTTGAGTAAGTTTTGCCACACCTGGAGGAGATGCACTCCTGACTCACCTGGGAGAACCTCCACTTCTGAAACTTGATGCTGACTGGCTGAGGTAAGTCAGGGAGGAGCCTGTGGAGCTCCTGCAAGATGATTGGCTGGATGGCATCCTTATCATTCTCCAAGTGCTCCAGACCAAACGAAACGCTGGTGTGGATGACAAGGGATGGACCGAGACCTGGAGCATCTGAGACAATATATGGATAAATGTGAAAATTTGAGACAAATATTTTATTTCTTGTGGGGATTCTTGTTTTTAGCCCTTGAATCAATCTTTATGTGCTGAAACCGTCCAAATAGATTATATATGGTTTTATCCTTATGTTACTGTATGAACTTTAACATTTTCATTTAAATTTCTTAAGCAGTTGAAATTTGCTATTGGTACAACTCTGTCACAATCCCCCCCGGTGGGAGTCAGGAGTTGGAATAGCAAGCCAAGCGTGACTGGTGAGCATTGATTGAAAGTGTTATCAGTTTTAATCAATGTATTTGCAATGTTGACGTGGAGTAGAATGGGTATCTGCTGCTGCGACAGCATGGTGTTTAAATCAGCATGTTACTGGAGTGCTTAGGAAGCAGAAGAGGCTATGGTAGTCCTAGCTGCAGCAGAGTCTGGCTGCAGCTGAGCTGCAGAGTGTTTTCACCACCAAAATCGGCAACAACAGAAAATTTGTCATTGTTTTTGTTTTTTTCTTAACAAAAGTCTACAGAGAAATCTGGAAAGTCAATAAATGTAGCAACAGTGTGGATAAGTTGATTTTTTGTTTTTGTTTTTAAATCTGCCAGGTTCAGGGTTATGCTTTCAGGTCAGTTACACTTTAGTTGTGATGTTACACAAACAATTTATATTTTCAAATGCAAAACTTTGTTTACAATAGTTGATTTTTTTCGTGTTTTTTTATGTTAAACAGATGGGTGAAGACACCTGAGCTGCGTTTCTTGTTGTCCACAGCGATGTAGCGGATGCAGTGACTGTCATTGACGTACCGCGCTGCCCAGGAAAAACTGAAGACAACATCCGGAGAGAAGAAGAGTGCGATTGCGAAGCGGGATGAGTACCTGACACCCTCCAACTGCTCTCTTTGCTGGACAGACAGTACTGAGAAATAGAATGACAGACAGTCTGTAATACCACTTGCATCATGAGAAATGTAATACCTGATTCTTGATCCTACATACTTTAACTCATCAATTGTCGCCAAGATTACTGCTTTTGGAGACGTGAGTTTTGCTAAGACAATATGTCGCTGGAGTCTCTCATCTGCTCCCTGAGGTTCCACACAGAAGATGATCCTTATGATCTTTAAACCTCTCTGAGCAAACTTAACATCTGCATAAAACTTTATGTGTGAAACATAACTGATTCTTCTTAATGGACTTTCAAAGGTGTCCCACTGATCTTTATGTTCTGGAATATCAATTACATCTGTCCTCAACATTCCACAAGCCCTCTGCTGTGTATGGGCACAGCAGAGGGCAGAGCATCCCCCGCTCTCCAGGCAGAGCGGGGGATGCATCTTCCTGCACAGGTGAGCATAGTGAGGAATATCAGAGCAGCAGAGACGAAGAGGGAGGGAAGGAAAATGTAAGCACAAAGAATCTGGCTGCTGGGACCCAGATTAAATGAATTAACCTTTAAATTACTACAATTCAGTTGTAATTTCAGTTGTACACTGTGTACAGTAAATAAATGTTTTTTTTGTTGTTGTTGAAAAATACCTTAAATTTAAAATGGTTATATTTAAAGTAGTGTTGTCAATCAATTACAAAATGTAATCAGATCAATCACACTATATAGCCTAACAGTTTAAGCTTATATAAATATGCACAGAGGGAACCATTTCTAGCTCTTGCAGGAATGGTTCCCTGGACAAGCCCCTCTTTCAGCCAATTATCTGTTTGTTTTTTGTTTCAGAATACACATCATTTAGTATTCAACAGCAACTAACAGAAACTTACTTCACTGGACATGAATAAAAGTAGAAGCCAACTTTGTGCAGGGGTCAACTGACAGCATATATTTATTTTCTACTTGTTGAGTGCCCCGCCCCTTTCTGATGCCACCTGGGCAACTGCATTTTGCCCATATTTTCAGAAAATATTGTATTGTTTTAAACCAAACATGTTCAAAGACTCTCAGTTTAACAAGATTTTATATTCAGGTAAGTTTAAATTTTCACCTTTCATTGTCGTTCGCTGCTCCCTGTGGGTTGAGTTCATAACACACTGCTGTGAACTAGGTAAACTTAAGTCAAATTAGGACATTCCACTAATCTGCATGATGTAAAATTAACATGTTAAAATTGACAGAATTTGCTTGTGTTAACTTTGACAACCCTAAATTAAAACCATTGCTATTCTGCAGTCGTGTTGCCAGAATCGTGTCAGCCAACCTGTTTAAAAACATCCTAGAGGAAACCCTGGACTCACATCGAGCTCACCATCACCCTTCTCTTTGCTTCCCCTCTCTGTCGTACAACTAAACCTGCCAGTATTTGGGTCCAATTCATTCAACTCTGTGAAATGTCCAAACACTTAAAAATTCTGCTACATCTTTTACCACCACAGGAAGCCAGGAAAATGTTTAAATGTAGCTCTTAGAGTAAAATTTATTCAATTGATTATTACATTTGATATAATGGTGTCCGATGACTTCTATTTGATTCATGTCTTTTTTATTGCAAATATATTAGACAAGTTACTTGTTAATTGTGATTAATTAATTAATCAGAGGATATTTTCTGTCCATCCCATAGAATTTATAGCCTCTATATAAAACACTGAGATTAATTTACACTTGTTAACAAATGGCAAATATGTTTGAAAAATGTGTCCAACACATGTCCCAACTCTATTATGGTTAATCCAGTTGATTTTTCCAACATGGAAGTAAACATTTTAAAGCAGCAACTAATAATGGAACACAGCATTCTGCACTGCAAATAAATGAATCTCATTAGAAGCCCACCTGTTCTGCCCTATAATTTGTTGTTGAAAGAGTTTTTTGTGTTAATTTTGTGACAGCACATTGCGTCTTTTATTTTGAAGGTCAGGAATAGGACAGGAAATCAGCCACCTCATTTAGTTTGCAGTCAGTCACACAATAAGAGGTGCATCTGTTGTAATCAGCTTTTTGTTTGTCAACGACATCACCGTCTGTAAGTTTTCCTTCTATATTCCTGATTAGATTTTATTTAATGTCTTATTTGTTAAGAAAATGTGAAGTAAATGTGGAATTTGATAGCTGCATAGTGCTTATGTATTCATGTTGATTTATTCTGGGCATGGCATTATAATTTTCGTAGTATGACTTTTTTCTTATAAATTAAACGCAGCTATTTTTCATTTTTGTGTTACAGTTTACTCCATGTTACACGTGTGCTTGGGTCACCAAAATAAAAGTGGAGATAAAGAATCTACATGCGGACTCAAGCATTCATTCAACGGGAGTTAAGCTTACTGCTAAATTGTGTTCAGAAACACACTAGGAGAGCAGAAAACCACCCATGATAATAAATGGCCTGTACTTTTATAACATTTCATTCAATCTAGAGGTCGTGACACACACTGATGGTAACCAGTTCAGTGGCATATGGCTATGCTGTCTGCTTGTCTGATAGCATAGTATATGGCTATAATGTCATATGGCATATGCGCCAAACAGATGTATGGCTGCCGTGCACCGGCACCACTGGGCCACTTTATTGAGTAAAGTGGCCACTTTACTTTATTGAGTAAAGTGGCCCAGTGCTCCAACTGCTCATTAACTTAAATGTTGAATC